ACTTTTAAAGACACTTCCAAAGGAAAATGGGCCAAATGAAAATTGTAGTCCAAAAAAAGTTAGTTGTCACTGGTCAGTTACGCCAAGAATCCACTGACTCCAGCTACGGCTGCGCCACAGTTTTGATGCGTCCATAGCTCCGTCAACTTCAGGCTGCATTTCCCACAAGGAGAATTTCAGAATCAGAGCATTTTGCCTGCCCGATTTTGCTGACATGTTTAGATTTTTTTGACTTTTTGTGCTTCTACTATGATTAAGTAGGCAACGTAGTTAAATGTTTTAACCGTGTTTATTGTTGTTTTACAGCAGCTATCATTAAGGATTAGACCTTTTCGGGTTGAAAATGGACTGAGACTCAACTTCGAAACTTACTGCCAGTTTCTGGAAGATACTTTCTTCAAGCAGTGGTACAGGAAGAAGACCTCAGCATTCAAGAAGGCCATGATCTTTATGCAGGACAATGCTCCATCACATGCATCAAAGTACTCCACTGCTTGGCTATCCAGCAAGGGCCTCACCTGACTTAAATCCTATTGAAAACTTTTGGGGCCTTCTCAAACAGGAGATTTACAGTCAGGGAAGACACTACACCTCTTTGAACAGCATCTGGGAGGCTATGGTTGCTCCTTCAGTGAAAGTTGATAATGAAGAGATCAAGAAACGGACAGACTCCATGTATGTGTTCATGGCAGTTATTGAAAGGAAAGGCTGGCTATATTGGTCATAGTTTTGAAAGGCCAAAAATGCTATTTAATTTTAATTTTGTGTTGTTAAAGTTACTCTTGAGAACAAACGAGTAATTTGATAGAAAGAATAGATTTTTGTAATTTAGTTGCCTAACAATTCTGCACATTTATACATTCTCCTGAGTAAGACAAAACTCACTTTTTCTTTCATTTAGGTTTGAGGTTTAATTATATTCTGGATTAACTGAGAGCACTGTGTTTGTCCAATGATTAGTAAGCACTTTCCCCAAGTGCTTACTCACAGTGGGAATTGTTGGGTCTCTATAAATAATATTAGAAAGAGTACAGTCTAGACCTGCTCTATATGAAAAGTGCAATGAAATGACTTCTGTTATGAATGGGCACTCAATACATAAATATATTTTATAACTGGCGTACAGGACAAATTAAATGTTTTTTCACCAAAGTTATTACAATCACCTTGCTGGGACATGAATTTTAGAACAATCCATTCAATAGCTTACCCCTCTGTCACTGGCACTGAGCTCCCCCTCGCCTCCCACCACTCCTCTCTCATAGCTGTCAGCCCGCTCCACCTTCCATGACAAGTTTTCTATCTCTGCTTCCAGCTGTGCCTGCTGGTACTCAAACTGCAGAGAAGAACAGATGAAAAATGAAATAAATGAGTAACTTCACTTCCACCGGGAAAAACAATGATTGAAGACACCATTAACACAGGTATTAAAGGGGCGAAAAAGTAGGTTTCACATATTTCAAGGAAAATAATTATAGGTGGAAATGGGTGTGGCCTATATCATGGGATGTAGCTCAATTCCAAGTGCCTTGCTACACTGAGGCTCTGCTACAAATTTCACCCATTTCACTTGCATCACCTCCGTGGGGCAATGGGCTTGCGTTGGGGGGCTTGGACCCTATTATTACCTGCTAGCAGGTCTCGTGTTAAGCAGAATTTAGAATTGTTTTGGAGAATCAATATGATAGAATATGTAATTGTTCCACTTGGTTTTAAATGTTTAAATCTGTTTTATATATTTACTTATCTGTTTGTCAAATATACTTTTCAACATGTTTACACAAGCACAGCCTAAAAGTAGATCCATGTCTGATTCTGTTTCCCCTCTTAATCCAAAAGTTAAAATAAAATACATTCAGGGTAAGGCCCCCACGCCCCTCTGGCTTGGACCTCTAACTATTGGGTCAAGGCTAAAAATAGGCTATAGTAGGAGGAGAGGTGGAAGAAGGGTGAAGAAAACAACAGTATTTGAAAATGTGTGTTCTGCAATTCCAGGACACGCATGGAGACTCACCAGTTTCTTGCGTGGGCCAGACTCCATGTAATAGGCGTAAGGGTACGTATACTGCAGTGTGTAGCGACACTGGAAACGAAAAGACAAGACACACTCATAACCGAGTAAAATTTGGAAAATGTTTACTCACAGTCATGACTAGCAAAATTAAGAATGGCACCTTGATAATTTATTGACATGATCTTAACTCAACTGCTTTACTGATGCAGATGTACTTGAGACTAAATGGATAACATTAACCCTTAGAAGTATGTTTGGAATATTTTAAGAAAAAGATGGAAGAAAAATTTGTTCTAATAAAAAGTTTGGTTTTTTGCGTGCACCCTGTCGGTCTTTCTGTGCATCAACTACTGCATTTACATATCCATTTCTCCCCCTTACTACTTCTGCATCTAGATTAGGCACAGTCATAGTTCTTGTTGTGTGAGCACCTTAGCCAGTAGCTTTGCAGCGTTATGCAGGTACTGCCAGTCAATCCAGGTTCCCAGGTTGTTCATCACTCTCTCCTGGATCTTCTCCTGGATCCTCTGGTACGTCTGAGCCTCCAACTGCAGAGACTTGTTGTGATTCTCCCACTGGTGGGGTAAAGATTGAAAAACAAAAATAAAATCTCAGCATTTTCGTAAAAAAGAAAACAAAAGAGGGAGGAAATAAAGTTTTTTTTTTTTATCATTTGCTGGACATTTTTGTTCTTACTACATTTCTATTTCATGTTATTTGAGCAGCAACATAAAGTAAATACAAAGGGTGACCCAAAGTAAAACTTACCCTCTCGAAGTAGAAGAGGTATTTTTTGAGGGCCTCTCTGGCCTGAGCTTGCTGGCTCTGGTTGACTATATCAGGGTTTTCTTTGTAGCGGCTGCACTCGTAGTATTCACTACCGTGAGTTTTCCAGTCACCAAGACACATCCAGCAGAAGTCTTTCAAGAAACACACAACACACATTTATGGAGAAACCACTACATGCATGCATTATACAGTTTCTACAGTGACATGTTTACAAGTTTTGTATTATAGCACAACCTACTGTTGTCTCCGTCTAAACGGCCTGATATTGACTTTGGTGGGCAATATATTTCCCATTTATCCAGATGACTAACCACAATTTGGTTTAACCACATTACTAATCTAACGGACAAAATCTATGTAATTAAGAGGAAGCTGATGAATTGTATGGCACATTGGTGTGAAAAACAATTGTAAACAACTGACGTGAAGAATTTGTTTTCCCTTCATTTTGACTACTCAACTTAACTATATGTTCCTTTAGACTCTCAGCTTTCACCATTATCCAAAAGACGCAAAAACGACTTTTATTATGACAAAGCGTCAACTTTCACTTTTTTCACCTCAAAGTTATGGTTGATGGCTACTTTATTTGACGTATCATGCCACTAGGTGAACGAAAAGTGCCCCACAGAACAGTGAGTTCATGCTTCACTCTGAAATTGTGAGACTTACCGTGTTTGCACTTTGAGCATTGCTGAAACAAACAAAGACACAAGAGAAAGTCAGAATTACTGAAACAACACACCTGACAAAACAACCACGAAAGTCACACTTTGAATAAATCTGGGTAAATTAGCAGCTGAATGTTTTATACAATATCATTTAGTGCTTGATTTAACAACTGCTGTCACACAAGAAGCTTAGAATTGGGGCTGGACGATATGACCTAAAATCAAAATCATGATCAATTGAACATTTAACCTCAATTACGATTAATGAATGATCATTTTTTTATTTGGTTGTTTTTTGTTACGTTTTGTTTTGACCTCACAGTTGACAAGGTCTTTACTGGAAATATGCCCAACTATTAAAGTTAGTATATTTGCAGTAAATTCACAATTGTGAACCCAGTGCAGGAAATATTAATATGATTTTAAAAAAACGTAAGTTAGAGTGTCTAAATTACTTTTCAATTAATCGTCCAGGCGTACTAGAAGACGCACACAGCAGCTAACATTTCTGCCCAGGAGTGATTTAATCAAATGTCAAACTATTAAAGTTGAGGACTTAATCTCTTAATAATATTTTTAGCATTTCCTGTGTTCTGGGAAAGGGTGATTTTCAGCGCTGACTCACCATGTGATTGCATCCTCCGTTCTTCTCAATGCAGATATTGCACTTAGGACACTAGGGGAAAATTAGGGTAATTAGGTCAGGGTAAGTGACAGGTTTGTGTGTATTACAGATTATATAATAATGTATGTGAGTGTCTGTGGCTATGTGAGTGTACAAAACAACATAATGTGTGCAAGTATGTTAAAATACCAGTGGTTGTGTGTGTGCATGACTGGATGTGTACACGTTTAGCTCCACCATACATCTTTAGTGTGTGCGCTGATGTAGTTAGCCGTCTCCGAGTCATCTGCACATTTGGTCAGCCATTTCCGGATCGTTGCACAGTCTGTGGGTGCGTGGTACATCTGACGGCATTTAAAACTGAGAGAGAAAATGAGACAGAAAATACAGAGACTTACAGTTGTACTGCTTACAAGGGCATAGCATACAGCTTCATTATAACCTGATATGTTTAGGCAAAAAGAAATTCTGTCACCCAAAACAGAACAAATACACCAAACCACATTCATCCATCAGTATAATGTGCCAAAAGTTTTTGACCAGTAGTTACATCTTAATACTAGCATGGGACTCAGGACAATTTCTTCTTAATTGATTCTGACATCATATAATAGGTTAGTAACAGTTTAAAAACACAGGTTTTAAATTTCCATATTTCCACAAAAACTGCAGTTTTTGTGAAACTCTTACTGTTGAACATCGGCATGTGCGTGTGTGTGTGTGTGTGTGTGTGTGTGTGTGTGTGTGTGCGTGCGTGCGTGCGTGCGTAATACCAAAAGACTTCACTGCAACGGCTACACTGCACCCTGCGCGCCCGTGGCTCCTGCACCTTGATGACAATGGGACAGTCTGCACCTGGACACAACTGCAACTGGAAGTGACTCTGTGGGACGGAATGAGAGACAGAGATAATGATAAAACAGCCAGAGAGAGGATTCAGATTTAATGCTGTGTGAAGGACATTCAGGGCCCTATCTTGCACTTGCTGTCTTGTATTGCTATCTTAAGGCAGCAGAAAACGACTGCATCAATGACCAACAATAACCTGGTCTAAAGTCAATCGCGCATTATTTCCCAGCTATTTAAAGGGCACATTATTTAGATAGATTTAGTAAGATGCGCCTGCGTAAGTATCGTTCTAGTGATGTGCAGATCGCACTTATATCCGCAGATCGGGAGGGGGGAGGGGACTGGTTTAAATGAACATCCAGATTAATAGATGGTGGGTACAATTAGGTGAATCGTCTCCCCATTAAGAAAGACGCTGTGCACATTTACGCACGAGATAAAGCGGCATAACTTCACTGGATTATTTTAATATTCCAACACACCGACAGGATTGATCATTAAAATATATCATTAAGAAAACATTCATCCATCGATACAACACACAATAAAGAAATCACCTGGAAGACAGAGATGTGACCCATGACCAGTTCATCATAGTTTATAATGCAGTGCAGTGACGATACAGACATTTCATAGAGGGGAAGACCATACAGTATTTCCCACACACAGACTTCATTTGGGCGGGCCACACAGGTAAATTAAGTGTAGGGATTGTTAATTTTTATTGATACCATTATTGAGACTGCTTAACGATCTGAGTCTCTATTGATACCACTATCGATACATTGCTATTATTTGGTAATGGTTATTTGGTAAACTAAAATTCATCCTCAGCACTTCTACATGGAATATTGTTTATTTCTGTTTACCATTTTCATAACTGATTTTATACTACTGTATATTGTCTGCTATGTAGCAGAAGGGACTTACAAACTCAATTTCACTTTCGACCTGTTGTAACGTGAAAAATCTACCAACCTACACACAATGGCTCAGAGATTTTCTCTCCTTCTCACTCCATTTTCACATGCCTCTGACGTTTCATTGGCTATATATATGCAGACCCTGACATAGCATCTGAACAAAAAGATTCAGCACACACAGACAGAAACACACACACACCTCAACATAGTCTCTGAAGAGGTATCGTCTGTATTTGTCCTTCAGCTCCTCTGCTGGCAGCAACGGCAGGACAAAGTCTTCTGGCATCTGCAGGGAACAGTCCTGAGCCATACATGAGATACCTGAACACACGCACACACACTTATTAAGAAGAGTCCTGAATCACTGACAGAGTATACTGAGAGAAGCAACATGTACACAGTTTCATATAAAGGCTGCAACTGCTGTTTGTGTGTGCCTTTAATATATAATAAATTCATAAAGTTCCTCTGCAGGTGTGTTTGATTTAGGCGAGCTCATTTCCAGTTAAAGTGACCAAAAAACTGGATTAAGGTCATTTGTCATCATAAATTATCCTTTATTGGTTACATTGACTGTAATAGTCCCTCTGATAAAACAAAGTAGCACAGGAACAACTGCATACAAATATGCTCACACACAAATACAAAAGCACTTGTGCTCCTACACACTTAAGTAAAAGGACAGGGAGTTTGCTAAACTGTATGCACTTTACCACACATTTAAAATAAAAAAAAACCCTTGTAACTGATTTCCGTACACCCCCATCTGCTCTCCTGCTGACAGCCAGTCAAAATCACATATTATACTTCCCTCATCTTCAAAGTCAAAAGTCACCTGTCATTACAAACTGTACAATGAAGTGACTGATGTATGAGGCTTTGTTAAATTCAACACCAGTCTGCAGACCCTGCTGGTCTGGCAGGAAGATATAGGCTTAAATAAACTTCCTAAAGGATCAGAGGCTGAAACTGTGTCGTGATGAGACCCTGAAAGTGATGAATCCCAGGGCGGAAACGCATGCACACTTAGACTACTCACCCACTCCCATGCCATCTTTGACTAGTACAGTGCAGTACTGCTCCCAGCATCCTTTGCAGAAGGAGTGCTGGCAGGGTAGTGCCAGCAGGGAGTCTCTTCGTACAACCTGTAGGCACACACCACACTGGAGGGACTGAGGGGCCTGAAACACACAATCACGTATATCATCAACACGCCATTAAACACACACCATGCAGCAGAGCTAGTATAGGAGGGCAAAATACATACTAGGGATGAAACAGTTACCTGGTTGCCGATAAACCATGGTAGGATTCCTGACTGTTAATATTACCGTTACCAAATTTTAATTATCATTAAAACCATGTTCAATTACCAAACTTACTTAGGGTAAATACTGTCCAGCATAAACTAGCAACAGTCTCCCAGACAAATGTGCGCTTGCATGGCAGAACGCAGTAACAGCGCTCCAGAGATCACTGTCTTCTTATAACTCATTTGTATTTATGTAAATTGCGCATGTGGTCGTTACATATACTTCATATCTTTTTAAATGCACATTTCATGTGGTTTTCATACGTTTACATAAGATATTTTGTAAACAAAAAGTGCACAGTGCTGCTCATTTTATTTGTGGGTTTCAAAATAAAACTGGTGAAATGGTTTCAGTGTGTGTACCAGTACTCTTTGAACATTTTAACAACAATAATACTGATAACTGATCATTTTGGGCACTATAATTGTGATGTGAAATTTTCATACTGTTTCACCTCTAATACATACAAAACCCTCATATGCTTGTTACATGTTAAATGGCACAATAGAATCAAATCAAAGGTATCGATATCTGTAGCACTGATATTTATCATACAGCTTAGACCAGTGTTTGTATTTTGTTGATAAATCAGTGACAAAACTTATTTGAATTTTGCTGTAAGCAATAAAAACAATTTGTATCACTCTCCATTAGAAGTATAAATTACTGCTGCTGGTTGTTATTCAGCCAACTGAATGCATTGTATAATTCAAACAAAACAACTGTATAACTGATGACGTTGATTCGCGTAGCAAATAAGCTCCGCCCAGCTGATTAGACACCAGCGTACGACGTGATAGTAATCAAGTCAACCCGCTCTCATGCTGAGAGTGGTAACTAACTGATATAGTTGCATTGTAAACATCTAAAAACTGAGGCACAACCTTGCTCTGTTTGGGACTGTGAGTTGCACTTTATCGGCGGTGCTTAAGTTAACTTGTGTGTGGATTGGCCAACCGGTCTTGTCGGTTAGTTTCAGTTTCCCATGCAAATGCAGTGTCAGTCAAATGGTCTGAAGGGGATACTACCAGCAGAGTAAAGGACAGGTAGACTTTAAATTTTCATTAAATGATGACATTATTCTCATAATATTACGACTTCAACATGCCGGAGAACAACAATCTGTGTTTTGAATGTGCAGAAAGTTTTGAACATGAACAGAAAACCTGCTGAAACAGCGGAGCTATTAAAGTCCAGGAGTTAATAACTTAATTGAACTAACTTTTAACTGAATTAAAATGAATTTATTTATAGAGGTGAAAAGGTGCCAGTCACATTTAAAGAGGTTTCTTCCCCTAACAAAGACACAAAAGAAGAGGGAAGGCTAAAATCACGCCTGAATGTGTGCTGACTCAGCAAGGATGATATTCTATTCTATTCCTGTCATCATCACGCATAGACCAGTAAACCGAAATGTGCACATCCCACACAACAATATTATATTAGTAATCTCTTAAGGATTAGGACAACTGCACCAACTCCAGCACCCAGAACAAACTCATTTAAAATGGCTCTCTTCAATGTGAGATCACTTTTAAGTAAGACTTTTATCTTAAATGATTTTATCTTGTCTGCGAATCTAGATTTTATGTTTTTAACTGAATCCTGGTTGCAAATGAATGACTATAGCCAGCTAGCTGAACTGTGTCCGCCTCAATATGATTGTTTTAGTCAACCGAGGGTCAGTGGTCGTGGTGGTGGGCTAGTGAGCGTGTATAGGAAAAATTTTAAATGTCATCAAGTACGCTGTGATGAATTTAACTCCTTTGAAGTTCTCACTCTTAAAGTTGGAGGGCTGCAACCTATCATACTTGTTATAATTTATCGCCCCCCAAAACCGCCTGGAGGATTTTTATCAGAACTTCCTGAATTTTTATCTACTCTGGTTTTAAATTATGACAGAATTGTTCTTTGTGGCGATTTTAATATTCATGTTGATGACCCCAACAATGTTAATGCAACTGACTTTTTAAATATGGCCACTTCTTTTAACTTCAAACAACATGTCAAAGGGCAAACACATAACCGTGGTCATACACTGGACTTGGTTTTTACCCTGGGTGTCAGCATTTCCTCGGTGGAGTTAGTGGACATGACCATATCTGACCACAGATGTATTGTTTTTAGCTGCGATTCGCCTGTTACTCACGCCGCCTCACCAAGCTCCGTGTGTTGTCGCATCTTTAATGAACAAAGTGTTTCAAAGTTTTGCGCATTCTTTCAGAGCCAAAGCCAACACCTGTCTGATTCCAACACCAACAATCTGGTTGATCACTTCAATCATATCTGCTTGTCGTCACTAAATATTACTGCTCCTCTAAAGGTTAGGCCTACGTCTAAAGCTAGTAAACAACCCTGGATAAATGACAGCATTCGCAGCCTAAAAAGGGAATGCAGGAAAGCAGAGCGCAGATGGAAAAAATCCAATCTCCAAGTCCATTACCTCAGTCTGAAGGATTTATTAATTAACTACAATAAAATGGTTAAGGATGCGAGAACACACTATTTTTCTGAATTCATTACTACACATAAACACAATCCCAGGTTTCTGTTTAAGACTGTGGATCAGCTGGTAAACCCAACCCCTCCTTGTGCCTCAGCTGGAAGTAATGATGACTGAATTGTTTTTATCTTATTTTACCAATAAGGTGGTGTCAATCAGAGCCTCTATTACCCCCGTGGCCTCTTACTCAGAGGTTCCTCACCAGCAACAACAGAGTTTTAACCAGTTTTATCCCATCGACTTGTCTGAGCTTTTAAAAACAATATCACAAATGAGAGTGTCCTCCAGCCCACTTGATATAATACCTACAAAATTTTTACTAAAAGTAATAGATTCTGTTGGGCCCCATTTGATCTCTGTTTTCAACAGCTCCCTATCTACTGGTTGTGTCCCTGATTATTTTAAAACGGCTTGCGTGAACCCACTTTTAAAGAAACCTGGTTTAGATCCCTCCCTCCCACATAATTTTAGACCAATTTCAAAACTGCCTTTTATTGCAAAGATTCTAGAAAGAATTGTGTCCAAACAGCTGCTCACTGTGCTGGAAAATAACAAATTATTTGAAAAGTTTCAGTCTGGTTTTAGGAAGTACCACAGCACTGAGACTGCCCTGCTTAAAGTCACCAATGACCTTTTAATGTCTGCTGATGAAGGTATGTGCTCAGTCCTTGTACTCCTGGACCTTAGCGCTGCTTTTGACACCATTGATCACAACATCATGTTAGACAGACTGAGGCACTGGGTGGGGATCTCTGGTACTGCTCTAGAATGGTTTTCATCCTACCTGTCAAATAGGAAGTTTTGCGTGTCTGTAAACAACTATGTCTCCTCATTCTGTCCAGTTAAATATGGTGTGCCTCAGGGGTCGGTCTTAGGACCCATTTTGTTTTCCTTGTATCTGCTTCCCCTTGGACATATTATCCATAAACATGGCATTTCTTTTCATATTTATGCTGATGACACACAAATATACTTGCCCGTCAGATCCACAGACCCTGGAATGCTGAGTTCACTTAACAACTGCCTTTGTGAAGTTAAAAAATGGATGTCAAATAATTTCCTCCAGCTGAACTCAGACAAAACAGAAATCCTGGTCATCGGGTCCCAGCAGATGGCAAATCAAATACTGCCATCTGCTGGTTCCCTAGTAAATCACATTAAGCCTGTGGCAAAGAACCTTGGTGTTTGATTTGATAGTAATTTAAATTTCGAGCAGCACACCACAAAGCTTGTTCAATCATGTTTTTATCAACTTAGAAATATAGCTAAAATTCGATCTATGTTAACTTTTAAGGACACCGAGACCATTTTACACGCCTTCATCTCATCACGCCTGGATTATTGCAACAGCCTTTTCACCTGTTTAACCCAAAAATCTATTGATCGACTCCAGACTGTCCAGAACTCAGCTGCCAGGCTTTTAACCAGAACAAAGAAATATGACCACATTACTCCTATTTTAGCTTCATTACACTGGCTCCCAGTATGTTTTAGAATTGACTTTAAAATTCTATTGATCACTTTTAAAGCTCTTCATGGCCTCTCGCCTTGTTATATTTCTGACCTTTTAGTCCCATACGCACCAGCACGTACCTTGAGATCCTCGGGCAGAGGTCTGTTGTCTGTTCCAGAGTCTCGACTGAAAACTAAAGGGGACAGAGCGTTTGCTGTCAGGGCCCCGAGGCTCTGGAACAGCCTGCCCGAGGAAATCAGGTCGGCTGAGTCAGTGAACTCTTTTAAGTCCCTTCTTAAAACATACTTTTATAGGACAGCTTTTCCCGATCTTATATGACTTTATTTTATCCCTTTTATTTTATTGTATTTTACTAATTTTATATTAAATTTTCATGCTCTTATCTTTTTTTGTATTATTCTTTACACTTGTTAAAGCACTTTGTAACTTGTTTTTGAAAAGTGCTCTACAAATAAGGATTATTATTATTATTATTATTATTATATTATATGAGAAAAGGATCTACAAGAGAAAACATAAAAAAAAAACATACATTCCCCAAAATGCAGGAAATTAACTGTTTACTGCTCCGAATGTTCCTATAATTCAGCATGTAAGTAAATTCCGTAAATGCTCCGTATTTGCATAGAGCCTTTCTAGTCTTTTCCACCACTCAAAGCGCTTTTACACTACATCTGCATTCACCATTCACACACATTCATACACTGGCGGAGCAGCCGCCAGGGGCAATTCGGGGTTCAGTATCTTGCCCAAGCCACAGCGTATAGTGTTAAAATCTTGTCTCCATCTCGTGTCTCGTCACCTAAGTCGTGTCATACCAGTAGATATGAAAAAAATTCAGAATAAAAAGGTATAAACAAAGTATTTAAACAGTATATGTGTACAGAGTAAGCCTTCACATTTATTGCACATAGTCTGTTACTCACAGTGACTGATCGGCAGGTGCTGCTGGGCTGGACCAGAGCGTCAGACAACAACAGAGACGAGTTGGACTTATATCTGTTGGGAACAAGAACAGAGCCAAGAGTTGTATGATGATGAGGTTTGAAAAGTTCACACTGCAGTGCAGAAGAATAAGAAGTAGAGAAAAAGAAAATGAGAACAAGAATGACAAAATTAAAGCTGCAAGGACCGTTGAGAAGGCCCTCGCACGTGTATCGTGTCCGGGTGTGACGTGGTCGCTCTGCAGATCAGGCAGCTCTGCCGGCGCCACTCTGAATTTGCCACGCATTTTATTTTAATCACATAATGTCACACAGACCTTAATTCCCCTTGCCAGTAGGTGGTGCTACAAGTATAACTGACTACTGGCATTTTGATGTGTTCAAGGCGGGACTCTTATCAACGAGTAAAGTTTGTTGCAGATGTGAGCATGTACACTGAAGACAAAACAACTTCCTAATTCATGGCCAATCATCGATTTTGGACGCCACGCCACAGGCACGCCATTCCACGACAACTTACTGTTAGTGCAATTTTTAATCATCAGTGGGACTGGACTGCACAACGAAAACTTTGAGTTGATCGGACCAATTCCCTAGGAGGAGTTTATTAAAGTACGAAGTGAGTAAATCGCCAAAAATTACCATTAAATTCAAAATGTCTGACTTCCTGTTGGGTTTATGGTGCTCCAAGATGCTATTTTGTATATCTGGACATGATATCTACCACAAAAATTTCATACATTTTGCTTAAAAATGGGGCTTCCTGGGGGGTTTTGCCACACCTATGCACGAAAACATATCACACGTACATTTTCACAGGAACCTGAGAGAATAATAAACATGCCGAAAGGAAGGGAAGGGAAGGGTGAATTAAACAAGCAGAGATGGCGCAATTAAAAGAAAATAAAAAAAGGCAGAAATGGTGAAAGAAGCAGAGGATATCTGTCTTACATACCTGTCCAGTATTTGTGAAACCTGCCAGTGAAAATGTACCAGGATCAGCTTTGCTACTGCTGGTAAAACCTGAGAGAGAAAGATCAAACAGAAAGAGACGGTTGAAATGTTGTTTCAATGATATTCAGTTCAAAGCAATGAAATATTGCTTCAGTGACGGTGACAGAGAAATGCTTCAAGATCCTGATGTAAACACATCAGTACCCCTTAGTACTTATATACTGGCTAAATAACAAGTCACATACCAACAAAATACTGCCAAAAATGTAGGACATTTAAAAGCCAGTAGACCTCAGATAAGGTACTGATTAATTGAGTCACCAAAAGAAAATGACTGAACAAAAGACTGAAGTTGTACTGTGCAGGTCCAATGTGTGATTGTGACATAGTTATTACTCCTAAACACCAACATGCAGACTCAAAGTTAAAGAAATGTATCACAATACCATGCCGTTAAAATGATAAAATACTGCCTTTAATTGGTATCAATATTTTAAAAATGACAGTGTTTTAATAGAGTATAGGTCACTGGCTTCTGCGAGTGGGTGGTGAACTGGTATTCCTGATTGGATAGTTAAATGACATGTTAATCAGAGCATCCCCATTGGTTATTCAGTAGAATGTGTCAAATGTGGGACAAAAGTACTTGTAGAATCGATCCATACCTGTAAACTTTGGGTTTTTCTAATATTAAGATACAAAACTTTTCCACACAGCTACAATCCAAAATAGCGTTTGTGAGGTCAGGCACTGATGTTGGATGAAAAGGCCTGTCTCACAATCTGAGTTCTAATTCCTCCCCATGGTGTTCAATGGGGTTGAGGTCAGAGTTCCTCCACACCAAACTCGTCAAACCTTGTCTTTATGGACCTTGCTCTGTGCAAAGGGACACAGTCATGCTGGAACAGCAAAGCCTTCCCCAAACTGCCACAAAATTGGAAGCACCCAGTTGTCTAAAATAGACAACTTTTAAACAACTGGGCTGGACGAAATCATGATTAATTGAACATTTTACTTCAAATTATGATAATTTTGTTTTTGAATGTTGTTTTTTGCCCTCATAGTTCACAACCAACATGGTTTCACTGTAAATATGCTCAACTATTTAGTTAATTATTGAATTTATTTATAAAAAAAAAATCAATGATCTAAAATGTTAATTGATAAGGTTATGTTGACGTGCACATGACAGAGACGTATGACCCTTATATTCGGCACATCGCTGCTGCTGAATTATGAGACCGCTAAAATTTCACTCAATTATTAATATTAATGCAGAACTAATGATTTTCCCCGCACACTGCGCGAGCACAGCAACACACGGTTTGCTAGCATTTAGTTACGTGACAGCTGCGGTTATATAAGCAGCGGCGTTAACATCAGGCCTTTTAAGGAGTGCAGTGCGTGTGTGTAGCGAGTGAGTAATGTATGGTGGAGAAAGTGACGGAGAAAGCAAGCAAGTTTGTCGTCAGTCTGGCAGTAAATGTACAAAAACATGTTTTATTCTGTGGTAAAGTTATAGAGTAAATAGGTAATTTTGCCCTTCGTGACAACTGTTAGGGGTGTGAACTTTTGTATAACTCACCCGTTTAAATAATATTAAGCCTTAAAGTTCTGCATTATTAGGGGCGTGACCACGTTGAGTGACAGATTACTGCTGCCGCTTTCACTGCTAGCCGTCTGACTGCCGTCTGTTAGCTCCGCTAATACAGGCAGTGATGGAGCTCTGCAGCTCTGCCTGTTTGAGCCTTTTGGACATTTCTTCATGCAGATACAGGACAAATAATGTCAGACTGTGCTATTTATTGGAGAGAAAGGGAACCCCCACAAACCTCAGGCTACACAGGCTACCAACCTCCAACCAGACAAGTCCCGGGTAAAAGCATTAGCTCCTTAGCCTGAACCAACTCGGTCACATCCAACAAGGCGGGCGTGGTTTCTGCAACCAGTCACCTCAGCTCCACCCATGACCCGCCTCTTCGCCCATTTTTGGTTATTATTTTGCTGCTATTAAATAATTTTGCTATTATTTTACAACAGCCTGATAGGAAAGTCTGAAAGCAAGGTCTATCTTAAAGGTTATGAACGAAATTGTCACAGTGACCCATACAATTTATTGGATGTTATCAGCACCTTGTTCTTGCCCAGTGGTAATTTTGGATACAACTTTTACAAATACTACGATGGAAATAATTAATTTCATTCTCAGTATTATGACAGTGCAGCATCACATAACCCAGCTACACACACAAGCTCACCTTCAGTGCAGCAGCCACAGTGTTAACCTCCTCCGTCAGCACCTTCTGACTCTCTCTATACGTTAGACAGGTGAACTGGTACTCCTCTGGGTCGAAGGAGTCCGCACCCTGTTGCTCAACATCGCTGGCCACACCCTCATAGTAGGCGGCAATGTCACCCTGATCCTCCTCTTCGCCTCCATCGTCCTCATCCTCCTCTTCTTCAGAGTTCACCCCGAAGTCTTCCTCATTGCTGTCCGATGCCTGGCTGTTCATATCCACAGACATTCAGTCGATTGAATCAATCACCCGGACAGGTAGACGGCCCGCCTACCTGTCGGATCAAAGTTGTCCGATTGGCTAAAATGGCTCCTTTGAAGCTGCACGTCCCCGTTTCTTTCCACGGCTCTTTCGCTCGTGTCAGTGTTCATAGACGCCCTGCCTTCCCGTTGGTCTGAGGCGCTTAGAGAGCACACTCAGCAGCAGCGGAAGAAGCAGAAGAAGTCACACTCCCCGTCACTCATTTGGAAAGCTGGTTTCAGGGCGAGCTGAGGACAGACAAAAATACGGATTAAAGTTATTATTCATCATTCTTTTGAATTTTTTGTATTACATGTAATTTTAAAAAATGTATTCTTAATCTGAATAAGTAAGTGGGGCGGCTGTGGCTCAGGAGGTAGAGTGGGTTGCCCGTTAATTGGAAAATCTGTGGTTCAATCCATAGTGTCAAAGTGTCCTTTGGCAAGAAACTGAGGCCCAAATTCTTAGGCTCAGTGTATCAATATGTGTGAATGGGTGAATGTTACGTAGTGTAACAGTGCTTTGAGCAACTAGAAAGGCCCTATACAAATACAGTCAATTTACCATTTAACAGTGGGTCTCCTGCAAGTTAACAACTACTGCAATCGATCCTTTTTGTAACCACATTGGGAAAAAACCATTATGCCCGCACGGCACTTGTTGGCGTCAGCTGCGGTCTTAGGCATGTTCTTCACTGTTGCAAGTTTCTCACCACAAGCTTGGCTTTCTGTTTCTTTCATCTCCTGATATCCTTTAACCCTACTGTAACATTTTTTGTTGTGCTTTACATCACTTGTCACCGAGCAATCACTGCATTCTATCATATTAATTAAACGCTGCGGGTAACATTTTGTTTGGGGTTGAGCTGAACATGTTTATGAAGGGTTTTTTTCTCAATGCTGCGGCAACATTGAGTCTGCATTACAGCCCCCATGACACTAATCTACACATTATAACATAGGAATACTTTTAAACAGTGACAATCTAACTCCGACAATACTGTCAAACTACGTTAAATACCCTAATTGACAACACTGAGCCACAGAAGAGTAGATTAAGTGACCCAATATTCTGCCCACAGCACGGTAGTAGGCCAAAGTTTTGAGCATGTTGTGGCTATAGTGAAATATGAGGGACCCACTCAGACCTCTTTATTTGCCATTAAGTGCTCCTCAATACCGTGTTTTAATGGTGGCCATTATTCCAAATGAGCCCTGGATGGTGTGCTATTTAAATAGGCTAATGACTCAAAATTACCCCAACATTTCAATCCGTGTATGTGTTCATATACAGTTCACTGAATTAACTAATAACTGTTCATGTTTGCTGTGTACCATTGGATGTACTGATAACTATCACTGAATTACTTTGATACTGAAGAAATCTTAAAAACCTTAGGCCAATCCTTCGTTGTAGATATTGTCCGCTGGCAATTTTATAGACATCGCCTAACCCTAACATGTATTGAAACAATGCAATCATTGTGAATTGTGCCCTATTCAAAAGTTTTATAGTATTTTAATATCCAACTGTTGCAATACATGTATTGTGATTTGTCTGCATAAATAATTGCACATACATTTGAATATTGCTATATTGTACGTAGGGCTGGATGATTTCACATAAAATCAAAATGAATTAACATTAATTAATTGAACATTTTACCTCAATTACGATTATTGAACAATCATTTTGTTTTTAGTGTTTTTTCTTTTTGCCCTACTAGTTCACTGACAAGGTTTGTTCTGTAAATATGCTCTATTACTATTACTGAATAATGGCCACTCCTACTAAACTTTCACTCAATTATTAAAGTGGAATGGATTTTCACCCGCACTCTGTGCAAGCACGGCAACACACGCTTTTGCTAGCTTCCTCTCCATATCCAAGAACATCAAAGGACATCTAAGTTACATGCAGGGCTCGTGCAGACTACACAACTTTCAGCGTTGGCCGATGGCCGTGCTGTTCACACTACACAACTTGCCGTCTTCTGAGGGGAGTCTGAAGTCGTTGTGGCGTTCACACTATGTCACACACTACACGAGCTGACAGCGGCTGTGTCATCTGACACTGGTCTCCAAACACAAATTAGATCACGGACCCCAATTTAATATGCCGTTTAGGTCCCCATTACTAAATAACAATTTCTTTTTAAATTCATTACGATTCAAGTTAAATCCGCTTTAATTTAAATTACATGACTTGTCTCTTGAGACATAAGTTACATTATAGGTCCTGCAGTATCAATAAGCTTAGATCTTGTTGATTTTACTTTCCTTATTGAGTACACTGTTGTATGGATGAGCAACGCCGTTTCAGCCATGACCTGTGTGTCAGGTAACAGTTAATGACTTGCCCACGGACATTCAGCTAACTTTCTAGTTCACTAAGACGTGGTGGTGTTGTGATGTTAGCTATAGCAGCAGGAGAGTTGTATTGCTGTCTGGAGCTGCTGTGTTGTTCAGAGACCGTCTCATCCTCTCATGTCAGCTTTGCAGCAATAAGTAGCATTAGTTTGCTAACCCACAACCTAGCTAACGTTAGTTACAATGTTACATTACTTGCTGTGTCGTTGTTCACTCTATATTATTGTATTTCTCAAGAACAGCTTACCCCACCTTTATAATGCAGAGAAAAATCACGAGTTCATAATATTTCACTGAATTTACAAAACATGTTCTCTATCAGGATATATATCATTATTGGGAAATGAAAACACCTGTATCGGGAATTTATATCCCAATATTGCATAGCCCTACTTAGCATTTACAAATTAGAGAGTGAATCAACCACCATGAGCATTTTTCTTGCACAAGGATTAAATTAATAAAAACTATCCACAAAATTAAACTGCGGTAAGTGGAATTATTATACTAGTGGTAAGCTATAGTATACAAATGTATGAAATTATAATCAATTTAGTAACATAAAATTAATAATATTATACTTACAATATACTATTAAATGAGCAATTTAATTTTTATTTAATGATATGAGAGTACATGCATTTATACTTTACTCCTCCAGGTTGTGGATAGAGCATCTGCAGTGGACAAATGTAGATTTAACAAAGATGCGGGCAGGAGGTTGTGGTAAAACAGGGCTCTACAGTGCGACCATTTTGCTTGCATATAACATTAAAAATCAATCCGCGCTTTATTTGTGCAAACAGGAAAAATGATTTACGAGCACAATGTGTGCGTAACTACAAACCTACCATAATCTCCCCCACCCCGCCCGTCCCACCGCTAATCGTTCAAAACACCTCGCCCCGAGTAGAGGGCAGGACACAATGCAAAGCTGGTGTCAGTCAAATGACAGTTATCAAAACTCTGGCAGGAAAAAAGCCAGCTAGCCACCGGAGCACCGGGAGAGTTCCCAGTGGGCGGGTCAGTCAGAGAGATGCGGCGTCAGCAGCTGGAGCAGTGAGACAGAAGACAGTACGGAGAAGATGAGGAGGTTGTGGGTTTGGCTAGCGGCTATTTTGCTATATCAGGTGCCTTTTAAAACATGTTCAACTTTTCATAAAGTTTATGTGCTCATCAATGTCACTTTTCATCAACTGGCCAATCACAGCCTGGATGGGGCAGGACATAAAAAAAAAGTTTGACGTGCTACAGTAAACTTTCAAATGTTGAACTTGTTCTGCATGAAATGTTTTGTTTATTTATGAGATAGTAGCATTAACAAATTAAGAGACAAATAAATGTAGGCCATTTTTCTTGCACAAGGATTTAATGAATGAAAACAATTTACAAACTCACCAACTGGAATTAATATGATACCGGTGATGGGCTATATAGTATACCAGCGGTTGACAACCACATGCCGGCGTGGACACGCAGAGACATTTTAAGTGGCCCGTGAGAAGGCAAACTCAATCCTTCAATATTGATGCAGCTACGTTGTTTAATATTACATTAAGTTAGTGGAAAAACAGATGATCAATCACCATGATGAATTAATTTTGACATTTTAATTAGGGTTGTCAAAATGATAGAAAAATAGAAATAAAATTAATACCTTACGCAGGATTAATCATAGTAATCTGCGGCCGGTCAGCTGCAGCAGAACGTTGTCTATGAGAGAGGGCCAAACTAAAACATTCAATATTGAGGGGGGATAGGAAAGGTCCCTCCCAACTTGGCCTGATCCTCGTTTTTACTGTAATCTGATCAAAAGGAGTTTACTTTCCATACGGTTTGGGTGACAAATGCTACATAGACAGTAAATATGGTGAAAAAATGTTGGCACAAATGGCATTTGTAACTATTTTAGCCTTCTGACTGACTCTACACATTCCAGCTTAGGCTAGACCTGTTGTGACTTGCTTATTCAAACCTAGGAGGCAGGTGCCTAAAGTTTCTTGAAGGTCTTCAACACCACAAATATAGATATGCGATTCATTACGATTCATTCTATTAATTAATTACTACAAACAAGTTACAAAACTTGTAATTAATTAGATAATTTTTTTTTAATCGCTTGACAGGTCTATTTATGTCTTATTATTGTTAACAAGGTCAAACTTCAATTAAAATCTGACTATCAGTGCATAAATTAAAAATAAATGACATGCATTAACAAACACTGTTGGCACACTGGATGTCTTCGTCTTTGTATAATGGCACTCATCACAGGTTGCCGACCTCCTGTAGTAGAACAGTATACTGTTAGATTCAAATTTTTATCTATTGTTATAATATTAATTATATATAATTCTTTTTATACTATTACACTAATATAAACTAGTTTCTCTTTCGTGTTGAGTGAAAGAGCCTCTGCAGTGGAAAGATTTCCACAGCACAGGATGTCAGTGTGCCAATGTGCTCCTTCTAGCCTCCTCCTTGTTCTGTTTTATGAAAGTTATTGTAATACTGTTCAGTAGCCTTCTTTACATTAGGTGTGGCTTGGGTTGTGTGGGTGCTGTTGGTGTTTCGTGAATCCACCCCTGGTTCAAAAACTACACCAGCGCCAATCACAGTAAAGTTTTTTTGTGTTTTTCAACATCAAATTTTCAAAACATCTGTTTCAATATTTTAAAAAGCTTCAACAAATTTTTAAGGCCAATGCCGAGTGTCCAGTTACAAGGGTCTTCAGTTCCATAGTCATCTAAGGGTTTCACACCATAGTTGAACACTAGGTGAAGGAGCACACACATAGTATAAATACATATATAATAAATTGTTTGTTGAACATTTTTCACTGTGCTCCTAATTTATTTTATTTTTTTATTTAATTCCCATTTAGGAGCACATGTGCTCCCTTGGGAAAAAGTTTAGCATAGAGCCCTGTGCAAGAGGAATGCTATGCCGTGTGTATATTGTAGGCAGTGTGGCCTGTCAATTGCAGGCAATTCTCTTGTCAACGGATCAACACAGTTTAAGCTTGATTCTTTGAAGCTGCACAACAGTAAGAAACACAAAACTTGCAGGGACTGATGCATCACCCTCCACACCTCTTACCAGCGGTGAAATACAGTACCAATAGAATTATGCGCTGCTGAGGAAAGTTTAAAAAGTTAGTCTGGAGCCCTGGTTTGTGGTCCCCAAACTACATTTCATCATAAAAACACTTGTGAACTGACAAGAAAAAGAACATGAATGAGAGAATGGATTATACACCTACAATTGGATATGAAGGATGCAAGAATTTTCTTCTCCGCAGAGTTGGAGGTAAATAAATAATAAAACCTTTCCATGAAAACGTACAGCTGCCTGCTCGTATTGTGGCCTTTCACAACATCTTCTGTTGTATTCCATAAAGCAAGAGCGTACTGTTAAAAATTAAAGTAGAATTTTGTTTATTTACTACCGTGTGACACGGTGACAACTGTATCCTATAAGACGAGCTAGCCATGATATAAAGACCAATGGCTTTGAGTGATTTAGATACAAGGTCCCCTATTACCCATTTGACTATTTCTGTGTTATGAACAACTAAAATCCTCCTTACTTAAACTACTCCAGTTTGTTCTCTGGCTGCATATTTATCTGTGATCCTCTGTCTGCTCCTCATGTCTGCTTTTAGCTGTGTATTGAACTTTCAAGATTCAATATTTTGCTAACATATCCTGTACACATGTGGGACACAAGGAATTAGTTAAGGCTTCATGTCAAGGTTTGGAGGATTAACTTAAGATGTTGTTCTAGTTTTGAGGATGAGGGAAACAGACAAACCGTGACGTGTGTTAACGTTGTGGTAAACTGTGCAGTAACAGTGAACACAAAACGGAAAGAGAAAAAAAAACACCTCAGTTAAATCCAAGATAAGGGCAAGCGCACAACAGCAAAGCAGTGATGCATGTTTGGACTATGCTGTCAAACACATTTGTATGTGCCTTATCTACCCATTTAATCGTTCGGGGGACTTCCATATTGTGCAGCTTGATCCACATTTGTTACCTACCCAGGCAGATTTCGCCTGTGATGACTTTTAAAACACTTTAAAAAACATCAATTGAAAATGACCTCAGTGGCCCCAAAGTTAGCTTATAATCGACAAGTGATGTGTATCCACTATGTTCAAAAGACACCATTCAACACAGTTTCCTGGCACCGGGGTTCAAATGGGACTTCGCACAATATCCACCTGGAAAGAAGACAAGGACAGCCGTGAAGCCTGCGAGTCGGCGGCGGTGCCAGTACAGCGACACATGAATGCAAACATTCCGCTTAGTCCAAGCTAAAAATAGGCAGCAAAGTGGGTGACACACATCTTGCTAGGCTAATGTATCACAGCGAATCAGCACAGGGTTGAAAACACGTCTTGGGGGGATGGGGAGGTAACGTTAAGGAGGTTTGGCAAAAGATGAACCAACCCAAAAACAGCTTGGTTGTTGCACATAAGCATTTCTGTCAGACTTGAAAGAAACTAAAGCCAAATCCACAGAACGGCTGGCTAAGTCACCATTAGCCGGATTAGCTTCCAAGCTAGCGTCCTGGCAGTTTTATTCAACAGCGAAGTTAATGTTTACGACTTGCCAAACCCACGGGTTCAATTATTCAGAACAGACTTGCAAAGGTTTTCAAGAAAACGTTGATAGCAGAATTTGCAACTCGAGAGCTAGTCGGGTTAGGCACCACCTTATGCCTCCCGCGGTGCCTCCGCCTCTCAGCCACTCTAGTCCGGGGATTGAAATGTAAACAAGGCCCTCGGGAGTAAAAAGGCACATTTACACAACCCCTGCATTAATTTCCACTAGTTAAAATCAGTGATATTTACCTCTCACGGGAGCGTCAGCTCTGTCCACGTTGGCAGTCAGAAGTGGTTTTAGTTTGAGGAAACCCAAAACGCGATTTACGCTCCGTGCGCTCGGGTGGTTGACGGAATACAGACGGGTAAAGAGGTACTTATCTATGACGTCACGTCCGTGCTTCTCGTGCCAGCCTCCTAAGACGCAGCAGTTTCACTTTGTATCAATATTATCCATTTGTACTTCAGCAGTAGACGATGCTGCAACATCGTTTTACTTTTTACTAACATACATTCACATTACAACAACCAGTAAGTATCTCAAGTTAGTTGCAGGGTTTCAAGTTTTCTAATAACTTGATGGCCATTCTTATTTCCCTGTGTACATTTACATTTACTCATTTGACGCTTTTATCCAAAGCGACTTACATGTGAGGAAGAACATACAAGCATCAACAGAGCATCAAATACAGATCTACAACTGACAATACATACTAGTAAGAGCAGCAATAAATACTAGTAAGAGCTCATAGTACATATCACATCAATGGGGTAGATACCTAGGGAAGGAAGAGTTAACAAAAAAGTGCTATCAATACAAGATAATTGTAAGGGGACAGAAGAAGAAGAGCACGCGAAGTGCATGTTAGAGGTTAGGAGTGTTGCGTTTTCAGATTTTGAGAAAGGAGAGGCTTTGTCCAAATCAGAATTAACAAAAAGATTTAATTACAAAATTGGTGAATAAAAAGACGTCATTACAGACCAAACAAATAACACTGCAGTGGACTGAAAAGTTGAGTTGAGTCACTAATGAGTTATTTTCTATCCTCCAGGTACGTGGGCGGGTTTTTTTCCTCCACATGGCTTAGGTCCATAGTCATTGGTCGTTTGGTTAGCTTCTTCCTCACCCAATTAAGAAGGGTGTACCTTACTGTTCTTCGCTACTTTTGGTCAAACAAGAGAGCGGCGATCCCAGACGTGAAACTCCACTTTGATCTGACAGGAACAAACAGTCTTTGCTCTATCAACTAGTCAGACAGCACAACAGGAGGTGTCTCTAAAACGGTCGACACCCAATCTTAGATCTCTATGAAAAAGTTAAACAAAAGAATCCTTCTGGCACTAAAGAAAGAGGTGTCAGTTTCCTTCACATTACAAAGAGGAGATAAACAATGGTTTAATTAACATTCTAATGAAATTGTCTAGCCTAAACCCCCCCAGTATTACATTTGAAAAAACACTGAAATACATTTGGTAAAAACTTTGTTGTAAAATTTTAAACTCTACAGGAGTTAGAGGTGTTATAAGAAAAAGTGTTCTCGGAAGAGATGAGTTTTCAAGAGCTTCTTGAAGTTAGAGAGGGACGCCCCTGCTCTGATGGCATGTGGTAGTTCCACTATTGTGGTGTCACAGATGAGAACAGCCAGGACTGGGATTGCTTTCTGTGAAGGGATGGCAGAGCCAGGTGGTGTTTGTTGGAGGAGCGTAGCAGGCGAGAAAGAACATAAGTTTGTATTATGGAGTTTAGGTAGATGGGTGCAGACCCAGTAGTCACTCTGTATGCAAGCATTAGTGACTTGAATTTGATTCTGGAGGCCACGGGGAGCCAGTGGAGGTCACTGAGTAATGGAGTGACATGAGTCCTTTTGGGCTGATCAAAAATCAGACGCGCTGCTGCGTTCTGAACCATTCACCACACAAGCTGGAAGACCTGCTAGGAGGGCATTGCAATAGTCGAGGTGAGAGATAACCATGGCCTGTACCAGAGGCTGGGTGGCGTACTGTAGGGCCTGATTTTCATTATGTTGTATAGAGCGAAGCGGCATGACCGAGAGACAGCATGGTCTGAAAAGGACAGCTGGTCATCAATCATGACACCCAAGTTTCTCATCACTCTGGTTGGAGTGTTGATAGTCAATTTGTATAAACTGCCCCTGCTTTCTTTGGCTATAGGTGGCACAGGTAGGCCTGAAAGTGCTGTGGCTCTGCAACTGGATGGAAACACTGCACTAAAGTGGTTTTAGAACAAATGGATTTATAAATAAACAATGCATCACACTCTGCTGTGCTTCTCAGCCGCATCTGAGAGAAGCAGAGGGTCCAACCTGTGGAGTTAGTGCATTGTAATTGGTCTTGAAATGCTGAGGAGGTAGATGCATCGGCATCAAATGCAACAGTTCAGTCAGTTGTTATTTGTGCAAAATTACAAATATATTACTTTAAAATAATTTTCACTGTAAGGAATGCCTGTGGACTTTTCTTGACAAATATTTAAACCAAGATAGAAATCAATTAGAATTCATGTAGCAAGAATATTACTTTTTTAAACATAAAATAAACCTAAAGATTTACCAGCACATACAGACACACACATTTTACTGCAAGTATCAGATGCAGATGGTTTTTGGAAAACTAGTTGCATGTGTGTGTCCTTGAGATCCATTAAGAATACTGGGTAAGCTCTGTCTGGATGTCCCTCAGATCAACACAAAGAAAAAATTTCCCACGGTCAAATGAGGAAGGAAATTTGAAAACCAAAATAAAAGTTTTTTGCACATTGGCTGTGTGAAGCAAGGTGTTTTTTGATTTTTATGCTAGATTTGATGTCCATTTAATGTAGGAACAAACGCAGACAGCAAAATCTATTTTAAAAAGACTACATTAATAGTAGTTGCTTTTATTTCTTTAAAATAATAGGGATGTAGCAGTCTAATAATGAGAGAGAGAAAAGAGGATTATAGTATTTTTGAGAAATCACGACACAGAGTATGTGAGATAAGCAGGTGTGGGCTTGGCTAGTACCTGGACGGGAGACCATCCATCCATCCATCCATCCATACCTCCTAGGAAAATTGAGTTGCTGCTGGAAGAGTAGGTGGGCCAGTAGGGGGTCGTTTTCCCTCTGGCCCTAACAAGAAAATCCCAATGCCCAAGTCCAGTGATGGGGACACTATGCTATAGGAGATGCCGTTCTTCAGATGAGACATTAAATAGAGGGCCTGACTCACGGGTCATTAAAGATCCCATGGTACTTAAGAGAAGGGGGTTCCCCGGTGTCCTGGCTTTCTCCAGCTGGCCTTCTAATCATCCCCCAGTGTAATTCACGCCATGTTTCCCTCCCTCTCCAACTGATGTCTGATGGCTCAAATGGCTGTCGTGCATCACCAAGGTGGGTGTTAGACATCGGTGGTGGTTGAGATGAATGAAAAGTCCAGCCAATAACAATGGCTGGTTGGGGAAACCCACTTATACAGAATGTGATTTTATTTTACAGTAGCAGGACAGAGTGTGGTAACAATCATTTCACAGCTTTTATGTGATGGAAGTTGTTAATTTTCAATTCAGCCATTAGCCTTATTGTTTGTAGCGTTGTTTGTACATGGGTTATTGTGTTTACTTGCCATTGATGAAAAGCCATCAATTCAAGTCAGCGTAAGCGCTATGAGGCGTTATGAATGGTGAGCTGAAATGGAAACCATGCCTACCTAGCTCAAACCAGCACGGTACTGGTCACGTTTTGGAGCACACCAATATTTGAAAGATGGCTGAGGGTATCACAGATACTCAGGTGAATGATGAACAGAGTCTCTTTATGCTATGTTATACACATGAAACGATAAGCACACTTCCCTGTTCTCACATTCACGATGAGTTTGTTCTCTCAACACAATTTGATAACACTCTTCTGCACAAAAGCGCACATCAACATGCTGGATTTGATAGTCACTAAACATGTTTTATTCCACTGGCATCTTGGCATGTACTGTCTTTTATACTTTCATACAAAAAGCTACCAATAGAACATATGAGCTAATAGAAATATATACAGTAATGGAGACAAAGCAGGTTTAATCTATGTTTTATCACCACTATAAGAAACAGATAAATCTACAGATCATTTCACAACAAAACATTCCTCTCCTTTCGCTTTTTATAGTGTTATAGCTAAATGTTCCAGTGTTGACCAACCTTGCAAAAATGTATTTCAGATTTGTTTCGGACAAGACATACTTTATCCTGCTTGAAGGTATGTTGTGTGAACACTTCTAAAGAACGTGAGGAGCAGACATCCAAGTGCTTTTTTGAGAGCAAGGGATAATCGATCTTAATTTTTGTGTCTCTGACATCACACTTTCTCAAAAGGGAACAAATGTTTCTCTTGTCCTCTCTTTTCTCGTTTTGTCATTGTTTTCCTCTTCAGTTCGCTGATGTTCCCTCCACCCTCCTCTGCTTGTCTATTCTGGGGCCAGGACACCGCCAGAGTTTCAGATGCAGTCTTAGCTCCTGGACTTCCACACTCAACCGCCTCCTCATCAGATGAAAGTCCAGCACCCTTCTCTCTGTGCGCAAGGCTCACCAGTCCCTCGTTCTTCTTGCCGTAGCGCTGTTTAAGCTTTTCTCTGATCAGGAGCCCCTTCACCAGCAGAGCCCAGTTGGAGATAGTCCTCTTTTCTCTTTTCTGGAAAGTGGAAGAGAAGAAATGGATATGTGGTGTGTTGGTGCCGAACAGGCTTTAATTAACTGGTTCTTCTCATACTGAAAAATATCATAGAAAGTTATAAGCTTCTATTCAAAAATTCTCAAATGAGTTTAAAATAAAAAAAACAAAAGAACAAAGTCAGTCAACCACACCTCTTTCTCCTTCTGTTTCTGAAGCTCTTGTTCTTCTACCCAGGCTGCTCTGAGAATCTCCTCATGCTCCTCACACACAATGTAACCGTCAGTCCTGAAACACACACACACACAAACATAAAATAATGTATTTGTTTTCTTTCTTTCTTTCTTTCTTTAGTAGCAGAAGAAACTATTAACATCCAGTGAGTACTTTTTACAATGTGCAGACTTTGGGTTGTCAAATATAAAAATATTAAGTATTCATATATAATACTTTGCAAATGTCCACAATGGAGAAGTTTTACGTGAGACAACAAAGAGTAAAAGAATAAAAAAGTAAACTTACTGAGTAGGCAACAGAACTAACAAAAAATATATTAAATGAGCTGTAACTGTGCAGCAGTTTTTACAATATGTGGGAATCAAAACAAATGAATGACATGAAAACATGTTCACTGAGATCAATTCAGCTAAACTTGTAAAACAAGCTTTGAAAACTAAAAATATATTTTAAAATAACAACCCCATAGATAAGGGATTTGGAGACAGATACAGGTGTACTGTGAGTATGCGAGTGCAAATATCAAAAACCAACATGCTACCAACTGATATTTCTTCTCACAAAAACATCAGATAAAAGCAACTGTTACAAACGCCAACAATAGAAAGAGGAAAAAAAGTATTCATAGACAATGATTACAGTTGAGTAAAATCATTGCCATGCTCCTGTACTGATCACATTCCCCTACTTCCTGGTGTTTAATCGCTCCTGTCTCAGTTTCTCAGTTTTGTCTTACACAGCATGCGAGTATCCTCCATGGAAGTCAAAGCCTGTGACCGCAGGGGCGGCGTCAATGTTCAGCTTCCTGGCCGTGCGGTGCAGGTTGGGCAGCCTGAGGTGAACACAGCCCACCGGTAACATACAGGGCTTAAACAAGTAGACGTTACCGTAATCATTACGAGGAACCTAAAAGGGAACAAACATATAAACAACACTGTTGTAAAATGTTGAGCTTTGGGATCTTGTCATTTTTCACCTCTGCTTTCTTCATTTATAAGCAAATATTTTCTTCTGAAATTCTTGGTTGTTCATAAAATATGCATTCATTTTTTCAGCTATATTTTTATATTTGCCTCAGTGACTCTTTCCTCACAGTTATCATTAAAGTCCACAAAGACGGATACCTTCCCATCCACAGCTATAGGCGGCTGGTACTCTTCAGTCTGCCATTCTCCAAACAGAGGCAGGTCATTTTCATCCTTCAGCTCAGACATCATCCTGGCTTTACGTGAACGATTAGAGAAACCCTTCACTTTCTGAAAGAGTGATGCAGAGGCATGATTATATACAGTACATTGTCTCATTATGTACTTAGTTCAGACCATTCAACTACCAAACATACTGGTTTGAGTCATACCACTGAATAGTTTTAATATATTACTGTTACTACAGAGTCTGGACATCTAAAAGCATAAAACCCACATCCATGTCAGTATAGACATGAAAAAGTGTTTGGCCCTTTCCTAATTTCTTATTCTTTTTGCATGTTTGTCACACTGAAATGTTTCAGATCATCAAACAAATTGAAATATTAGACAAAGACAACACGAGTAAACACATGGCCCTGTGTGAAAAAATGATTGCACCCTAAACCCAATATCTGGCTGGGCCACCCTGAGCAGCAACTGCAATCAAGTGTTTGCCAGAACTGGCTATGAGTCTTTTACAGTGCTGTGGAGGAATTATAACCCACTCATTTTTGCAGAATTGTTGTAATTCAGCCACACTGGAGGGTTTTCGAGCCATGACCACTTTTTTTAAAGGTCATACCACAACATCCCAATGAGATTCAGGTCAGGACTTTGACAACTCCAAAGTCTTCATTTTGTTTTTCTCAAGCCATTCAGACATGGACTTGCTGGTGTGTTTTGGATCATTGTCCTGCAGCAGAACCCACGTGCGCTTCAGCTTGAGACAGCTGGCGCCTTCCTTCAGGATTTTTTGGTAGACAGCAGAATTCATGGTTCCATTTACCACAGCAAGTCTTCCAGGTCCCGAAGCAGCAAAACAGCCCCAGACCTTCACACTACCACCACCATATTTTACTGTCGGTATGATGTTCCCTTTCTGAAATGTTGTTAATTTTACACCAGATGTAATGGGACACACCTTCCAAAAAAGTTCAACTTTTGTCTCGTCAGTCCACAGAGTATTTTCCCAAAAGTCTTGGGGATCATCAAGATGTTTTCTGGCAAACCCGAGATGAGCTTTTATGTTCCTTTTGGTCAGCAGTGGTTTTTGTCTTGGAACTCTCATTTTTGCCCAGTCTCTTTCTTATGGTGGAGTCATGAACACTGATCTTAAGTGAGGCAAGTGAAGCCTGCAGTTCTTTGGATGTTGTTGTGGGATTCTTTGTGACCTAAATCTCAATTACTCTGTTTCTCATTTGTTCCTGAATTTATTTGGCTCACAGCATGATATCTAGCTTTTGAGATTCTTTTGGTCTACTCACTTTGTCAGGCAGGCCCTGTTTAAGTGATTCCTTGATTGAGAACAGGTGTGGCAGTAATCAGGCCTGGGTGTGGTTAGAGAAACTGAACTCAGCTTTCCAAAGATGTGATTTATTTTTTAACAGGGGGGCAATCACTTTTTCCACACAGGGACATGTAGGTTTGTTTTTTTCCCCCTTAATAATAAAAACCTTAATTTTAAAACTGCATTGTGTTTACTTGTGTCATTTTTGTCTAATATTTCAATTTGTGACAAACATGCAAATACAATAAGAAATCAGGAAGGGGGGCAAACACAAATTCTCTCTACTGTACAAAGGAAAAAGTATATGAACCCTTTGGAATTACCTGGATTTCTGCATCAATTGGTGTAATGATCCAATGTGATCTGATCTTCATCTAAGTCAACAATCGACAAATACAGTCTGCTTAAACTAATGCCAGACAAACAATTATATGTTTTCATGTTTTTATTGAACACACCATGTTACCATTCACAGTGCAGGGTATGTGAACCTTTGATTACAATAATAATAATCACAACAATTAGTCATTTAGCTGACACTTTTATCCAAAGCTATATATGTGTCAGAGGTTTCACGCCTCTGGAGCAACTGGAGTATATCAGAGTCGTGGCTTTGTAACAAAATCACTAATGATGAGGTAGGAATTGATAATTATGTTTTATACAGAGCTGATAGGACATTAAGAGGGGGAGGTGTGGCTTCTTATGTTAATACAAATCTAATAAGTGCGTCTCTGCTAATGTTGCACCAACTAATTTTGAGTGTCTTTTCAATAACATCATCTTTCATTAAAACAAACGGCTTACTTTTGGAAATATTTACAGACCTCCCTCTGCGCCCACTGATTCCTTAAACTGTATTTTGGCTACTATTAATTCACTTAACAGACCCAACGAATCTGATCATATTGGGAGACTTTATTTGTAACTGGTTGGATCGGTCTTCGTCAGGTGATAGAAATCTTTTAGGCAGGGTAAGCCTCACTCAGCTAATTAAAGAACCCACTAGAGTTGAGGCTTTAATTAATGTCACTTGTTGATGAGGCATGGAATTTCTTCCATACTGAGGTAAAAACTGTAATTGATAAACATGTTCCTGAGAGAACAATTAAAGTCAAAGGCTGGCATTTACCATGGATAAACTCTAAATTACTTCAACTATTGAAACAAAGCGCTAACGCTTGGGTTAAATATTATCTAACAATGTTCAGGAGGAATTTTGGACCATTTCTCTTTACAAATTTGTTTCAGTTCAGCAATATTCTTGGAACGTCTGGTGTAAATTGCTCTCCTGATGTCATGGCACAGCATCTCAATGGGGTTGAGGTCAGGACTCCGACTGGGCCACTCCAGAAAGCAAATTTCTGTTTTTGATTTACTTCTGTGCTTTGGGTCGTTGTCCTGTTACATCACCCATCTTCTGTTGAGCTTCAATTGGCGGACAGATGGCCTTACCTTCTCCTGCAAAAATTTTTGATAATCTTTGGAATAAATTTTTTCATCGATGATAGTAACTCCTCCAAGCCCTGAGGCAGCGAAGCAGCCCTAAACCATGATTCCCCCACCACCATGTCCTCTTATGAACTCCATTCTTGTAGTTTTGTTACATATCGTAGAGTCGTCAATAGAGATGTTTCCATGTTCCAGAGATTTCAGGATTCTTCTTAACCTCATTGAGCATTCTGCGCTGCGCTCATGCAGTCATCTTTGCAGGGCTGTCACTCCCAGGAAGAGTAGCAAGAGTGCTGAACTTTCTCCATTTATAAATAATTTGTCTTACCGTTGACTGATGAACACCAAATATACTTCTGTAACCCTTTCCAGCTTCATGCAAGCCAACAATTCTTCATCTTAGGTCTTCTGAGAGCTTTTGTTCGTGGCATGGTTCACATCAGGCAATGCTTCAAGAGAATAGCAAAATTAGAATTGATGTGTTTTTTTTATAGGGCAGGGCAGCTCTAACCAACACACCCAATTTCGTCTCATTGATTGGACTCCAGGTTGGCTGACTCCTGACTCCATGTTCCCTGCCAAGGGGTTCACCTACTTTTTCCATCATGCACAATGAATGTTTACACGGTGTGTTCAATAAAAACATAACATATAATTGTTTGTGTGGTATTAGTTTAAGCAGACTGTGTTTGTCAATCTGATTTTCTCAAAAAGAAGATCAGATCACATTTTATGACCAATTTATGCAGAAATCCAGGTAACACCAAAGGGTTCACAAACGTATTCCTGCGACTGTATACAAATGGAAATACTAAGATAACTTTCTGTGTTTTCTTTTAAAGCACAATTTGTACGTTTCACATCAGCAATGTATGTATCTAACTTGTTCTGTTCTCTTGTAATGTTCTCAAACATTTTCTTTCTAACCCAGAAAGACGGAAAAAAATGCATGCCTCACCACCCTAGCATAAGGGGACTTAATTTTTTATCAATCTTAACAATACGGGCAATCGAAATATAACAAAATAGACTTGCTAGCAACAGAGCACTTTTTGTTTGTCTACACCCCATCCCCCCCTACTCCACCCCCGTAGTAGCTCTGTAATACTGTAGTTACTCAGTTATGGTTCTTGTTGCCAGCAACCTTGTCATTACCATCAGTTCAATAATCTAATTAAGACCGACTGAGATTTAATAACGTCATTGCTCCCCAAAGTCTTACAGTCTACATATGCACATATGCAGCAAAATATCACTGTCATAATAAAAAATTGTTCCTACGACTTCAGCAGCTATGTTGACAACTCATATCAACCCACACTCACATTAAATCATTCTTCAACTTAAGAACTTAGCTTTGCAAAACTACAAATTTAACTTCATGTAATGTGTGGCTGGCTTTACACGACTTCCAAAAAGTTTTTTTAATCATGCAAGTCATGCAGTCAAGTTTTAGATCCAGATACAATACTAACTGTGCCCTGCTTTATATAATCAGCCGAAAAATACAGTAACTTAAGGCCAATCCATTGAGGCCACTCTATCTGTTACATTCGTGAGAGAGAATATAACAGCTAAACATTAGAAGGCAAAGCTGCATGTCATTAGTTGCATTTAAAAAAATATAAAAAGTCAGTATCTACACCAAGGAATGTTTCCTCACAGAACTAATCAACCAGACCTCATTCACTTTAATATTAGGAAGGAATCTATGATGGAAGAAAGGTGGTTGTAAGCTCTGTTAAAATGGTGTGTTTAGTGGTTGTACGATCATCAGTGATGTGTTGATGAGAGGAATAGAAAAGTAACAGAAATAACAGAAAAGTAAACAAACAGCCACAAACTGAAAGAAGAGAACTGATATATGTAAGAGAAAAAAAGACAAAATATAATAAGATTTGAGAGAAGTAGTGTCTCTCACCTTGTATGGCTCCTCTCCTAGTCTGACAGTTCGTGCTTCTTTCAGCCATGTGTCTCTGGAATGGAGGGTGTGCACACAATCCCTAAGAAGAAAGAAGATTTACTGATATTCAAAATAATGAGAAATATTTTATCTATCATACAAATATTCTCATTTGCCTGAAGAATTTAAGGCTTTGCTCATGGCTTGAGCCCAATGCAGACATATATTGGTTGTAAGATGCATTTTCATTCTAGGTGTGAACAAATAACAGTCAACAGCAGATGTAATTCACAGCAAGCTAATCACTACATCTTACAGCACGTGGCAGTTTAAAGGTAGGGTAGGTAAGTTTGAGAAACTAGCAAGAAACTGCTAGATTTTTAAAGTATCCAACAGAAAAAACCCCCACTCTCTCCTCTCTCATTATCATTTAAGACGCTGTTTTTTCCGCCAAATAAAAAGTATTGTGTCTTTTTGTGTGTGTGCATAGTTTGGTCTCTCCTTATCAGGCTGAACCAACTACCATGACTAGTTAAATGCACACTGTTCATACACTGTTAGTTTAATTATTTACATTATGTCAGGAAGCAGGAGGAGTTCTTAAGCATGATATACTGTGTGTAGCTATTTATTTTTAAACATATTAGCATTAATCATTCAGTCATTTCTTCAGTGTTGTCACATGAAAAGATATAGTCAAATATTTGCAAAGATGTGAGGGGTTTACTCACTTTTGAGAGATACTGTAGCTACAATAAATTTTGTAACCTGTAAGTTGATGATTGTGTAATGCAATGCGCTTACTGCCTCAGATGCTGCTTTTTTTTTTTTTACCCGGTCCTGCCCAGCAGCCTGGTATGCAGTATGAGCATCTGGATACCATGTTGTACCAGTCAGATTTTGCTTTAAAAAAGGAGTTTGAACTTAGTCCTTTATCGTCTTTATTAATTATTTAATTATGTGTGTGTATATCTTTGTCACCAGGCCAAACCCCTGCTTAGAGTCAAGCAGAAATACCAAACTTAAAATGTTTATTCTGGGAACATTCCTGGCTACTCTTGCTGTAAAGGTGTCACTTGGCGACACTTTCAAGGAGGACAAAAAGGTCATGTAACCCACACGAGAGTGGTCAGAAGCCATAAAACTGAGACTTCAAAACACACACGTTCAACAAATGCTGCCCACTCCTTTATTCGCGCTGATGAGTGAACTGATAAAAGGAGATCACCAGACATCCCAAAATCTCTTCCAACAGTATTGGAAGAGATTTTCATTTTAACAGCAAGAGTGTTTACAACAGCAAAACTACTACATAAACTCAATAACTGGATATACATATAAAAATGTTAGTGTAAATGTAAAATAAATAATATTCCTGAAGAAGAAAGGGCCCGATTACATTACAGAAAAGGGTATGAAATGTTAAGGTCAAAGATTGATGCTAGTTTATTTATTTAGATTTATGATTAGACATATAGTCAATAAAAATCCAAATATATCTCAGATTCACAATACAATATATAAAATCATTATTACAATATTGCATACTGTAGACACCCAAGCAAACAACACACAGACACACCTCTGTCTTTAGATTTTTCTGTCTCACTCTTACCCCTGCCATGGCCACCCTCATCCTTTCCCCCGTTAATGTTTCCTTCTCATGTTAAACCCACACTTTGTTGAATCTGGTATCTACCTGCAGCTCTTGTTATTCAGCAGTCTCTGTGAGCGTCTCCTGCTTATTTTCTCGTAGCGGTCATGTCAGCCTACAGTGTTTTAAAAAGGTAGAGCTGGGAATTCCCTGTGTTTCTTTTTCAAAACTGCCTTTGCAGATGTATCGATACAGAAGCATCTGTATACGCATATCAGCAAGGAATACACAACAATATAATTCTGTATAGATATTTTGAGAACAGCCCTATTTAAATCCTTGTTCGATGTGCTCTTTTTGTCCTTTGAGCACCTGCCCTTCCAAAGGTCTCTGCACAGCCCTGAATCTACGAGTTGATGTTGACATTCTCCTAAATCAAGACAAAGTACGAGGAGGAGATTCAACTGAATTAACAACACAATCCAAAATAAGATCACCCCACAGTTTTCACATTCAGTTTAAAGTACTAGATTACGACCGATTTATCGTTTTGCAGATATTATCGGCTGATATAAGTTGTTTGCAGATATATCTGCATTGCCGTTTATAACAGCTGATATGACTATTAAAAAAGAGAGACAGATTATTAAAAAAGAGAAACAGTCCAGTAGTCCGCAGTCTACCGGAGCTCAGAGCCAGTGTTCTGTCGATTTATGCTACCTATCGAGATGTGCTACAAGCGTGGTCTGTTTCCACGCCCATAAATCTGTGCAACCTTGCTGTTGGGCATGCCGTCGAGACAGTGGCTGATCGTCAGCAATATCAAAAAGAAAATAATTATTATTCTATCAGAATATGCTACCCCTGCTATAAAGACGGCATAATAATAATATAGTATTTCAACATGCTCCCCATCTCTTTACAGTACACATGGAGTGAGTAGTAAAGATATTTTGCAAATCCGGCCATTGCATACCTGCTGTTGTATGATGTTTGTGTATACTTTTGTGTTTACTCAGCTCATCACCTTCTTTGTGATTAAGCAACTGATGGTGGTTGCTGTTTTATTGTTGTTTAATAATTTCTTTATATAGCACAGCAACATTTATTGTGTAAATCTAGCTGTCCTATATTTTGTTTATGTTTTCTTACATGATTATTATTCCTCTCACATATAAATATTGTATGTTCATCAAACTATACTTATTTTTAAGGGCCATAATCATGTAAGAAAACACAACCAACGTACATTTTAGGATATATCATGCAGATCTTTTTCAAATGGGTGTTGAGGGTAGTAGGTTTACTTACAATATATTCATGGCTGGTTTTTTTTACTACTGACCTGGAGTACACTGGCTCGCCTCTGCAGTATCCCAGTACAGTGGCTGATGAAGGGTAGATAGCTTCGTATTTCAGCAGGTGTCTCTTTAAGGCATAGAGCGGGTGGTTCTTATACTCGCCTACTGAGATTGGCATCGGTTTGTTCAGCAGCTTGTTTTGAAGCTGGGTGGCCAACATGGGGAAAACACAGAGAGAAAATGGTTGGTATCGGTAAGTATGCTGTGTGTGTGTGTCTGTTTAACCAGTTGTGAGAAAAATGAGAAGCTCCTCGGTGGCAAAGAGGGAACCTTTTTATCTTTTATGTATTTTACTTAAAATTACTGATTCACAATTTTTACTTGCAGTAGACGGAGATCAAATCTTTTCATGCTTTGAATGAGCTGCTTTGGAAGTCCTTTTCCCTCACCGTCATTAATATGTATACCTGACTCATCTTACTTTACATTTACTCATTAGGCTGATGATTTTAGCCAAAGCGACTTACAATTGCTGCCAATGTCAGGGCAGAGGGCATGCATCTGGAGTAACTAGGGGTTAAGAATCGTGCTCAGGGACATGGATATGTTGCATGTGTCACAGGTCTCTCACACCAAAGACGTCTTGCATCTTATCCTCTTCTCCATAACCAACCCCTATATCATTTACTACTTACACAATAATGAGAATCACTGCGTGTGCTGCAGCTCAGTGTGTTGCTCCATCAGCGTTTTTGACGGCGTGCCTTCAAAAGCCGCTAGACGAGCATATGATGTTGTGAATGATGTGTTGGTTGCAAAGTGATACAGATTATGTATGGTTATGAAAGTAAAGGCTGGACTACAATCGAGTTGTTTTCAGGCAGTTGGGATGGACTTTGTGCTTTTTCACTTTGCAAACTTATCACAAGCACAAAAAATATATATAACACAATAAAGGAGAGGGAAAAAGCCAAAGAGTTTAACATGACCGGTTTAAATTATCTGGGTCTATTTTTATTCATTTGCTGTTCACTGATTTTTAGCTTAACTGTTCTCAGTTGTAAATAGGCAAAACCAGTGTTCTATTTTTGTATCATACCTCATAAAACTTTACTAGTGTCCTACAAATAAATACACAAAAAACAGTAATTCATTGGTAAGACAATAATCTTGGTTATTAGTCGTCTACTGTCACTTAAAATTTTAACTTAATATTCTGTTAACATGAAGCACCAGAGCCAACAGTCTAGTATGTATGTGTAAAAAACAAATGGACCCGTCTTTTTTCAGTCTCACCTCCTTGTCCTCCATTATGTCCCTCTCGTCCTCGGGCGCCAGGAACGGCTCAAGCGTTTCCTCCCACCAGTCTTCATCCACTCGTCTCTTCCTGGACGATGTCATCCAGGTGGGGTCATACTTCTTTCCCAGGTCCTTAATGAACCCGTCTCCGTCCAACGACACCACATATGTCACTGGCACTGTTGCATTCTGGGAGCAGAGATGAGGCATTCCGACACCATGCTCCACATCCACGCAAACCCAGGAAGAGTTTTTTTCCAGAAACACCTCCAACCACTCGTCCGCTCCATGCTCACCCTTCTTTTTCCCACTCCTATGCTTTGTTCCATTGCTTGTTGTTCTTTCTGCGTCGTCATGATCGTCTTGCCACTCGCATTCCTCCTCCTTTACCTGTTTTTTATCTGTTCTCTTTGAAGCTGTGGTTTTCTTGCTGTAGGCCACTTTGGCTTTGCTGTTCCTGTTCCCCATCTTCTTCTTTGTAGATTTAGCCCAACTATCTGAATCTTCACTGTCCTCTTCACTTGTTAACTGCAATTCCATGTCATCAGAAAGCCCCTGCTCCTCCATTTCCCCTTCACTGTTGCTCTCCTCCTTGTAGTTAACTTTTGAAGCAATGCTGCGGCGTTTTGAGTTCTTTGGCCTCTGCCCTCCTGATGTTATAGCCTTCTTCTCTTCCTCCTCATCGTCCTCCTTTATTACTTTTCTCTTTGCTTTCTTTCCTCCACTGTCTCCTTTGATCTTCAACCCTCCTGCTGGTCTCTTCGTACCAGGAGAGACCTTCGACTCAGGGGGGCTGCTCTTGGAGGTTCCATGGCTTGTGTGGCTCTTTCCCAGGACATCAGCAGATGTTGTAACTCCTTTGCCCTGGAGAAAGGACAGAGATATTTAGATTATGTGTATATAATTTACATGTTTTGCAGAATAACTAGGGTGTTTTGTCTTTCCACAGATGAGCTTTGATAACTGACTGTGATACAGCAGACAATGGAGGAGTCATCGAAGAACTTCTGGAGGTGGCTCGTTGCCGAGTCAAAGTAAAAGTCAGAGGATAAGAAAGTGAAAGGCTGGACAGTGTCAAAAGCACTGGAGAAGTCAAAGAAAATGATCCTCACAGTGCTGTGTGGCTTCTCCAGGTGTGTAATCTCTAGTAAGCTAAAAGTATTGGATAAACACAGCTAAAAGTACGGGATAAGCAGTCAAGAGACATCTAAAAGTAAGTTAATGAATAATGTAAATTAGGGGATGTGACGAGATTTCTTGTCAAGTTAAAAGCTGTCTTGTGAGACTCATGCAAACTGGGGTAGGGTATTATTTAAAATTTTATGATACCAGTGCCAAAACCAGTAGCCTTAAAGTGATACCAATACCAATAGAGTACTTCATTCGATACTTTGCATAAAATGTCACCTATTAGGCCATAGTAGTTGATTAGTAGCCTGTTATTATTTTTATTGTTGTTATGGACAAGCAAGGTGATGTATTTTATTTCTTTTTTCAAATAACTGTTACATAAAAGTATTGTAGAAACTGTATCACATCCTCCTCATCCTAATTAGTTCACCCTCATTGAAAGACCTCCGCGAGTGTTTTTCTTTATTGGTGAGTCACAAACTTCCAAGTATAAAACGAGAAAGCACTCTGTTTAAACAAGTTACTTAACTACACTTAAGACTCAGACAGACTCAAACAGAGGAGAGCCAATCAAACTACACCTGAAGCAGCTGCAGCCGGAGGCTCTTTGAGTAAAATCAGCTGATTGGCCACAAAAGCCTTTAATTGATTTGATGGAACGCAGCGATCGATCAGTGACAAGTGATGTGAAATAAAAATGTACAGAGAAGTGTTAAATGATACCAGAAGATGAAACCTACGGAAAGCCAAGCTTGTGGTGATAAACTTGCAACAGTGACGAACATGCCTGAGACCGCAGCCGAAGTTGAGCGGCTGTTAAAATCACGCATGGACTCGGCACGTCTTCAGTTAGTTTTTTAACCTCCTGTTCAGTCATCCTAGCATGCAGTCCCAGACAGGGTTTCTGTGTCTGTCAGGCACACATACACCCACATCCACACACATACACGTACAGACACACACACACAAATTTAGGTTGTCCATTGTTGTCAACTTGTAGGTTCATCATTCTACATGTATACTAATTAGTAATTTATTTTAATTAAGTGTTATTATTTCCCTTCTCACGGCTGTGCTCTGTTGTTTATGTATTTTGCAGGACTGTTTCTCTTCTTCATTCACCCGCTGTAGTTTTCTCATGTTTGCTGTTGTCTCCTGATATCGACCCCCCACCCCTCCCCCATTTTTTTCTACACCCCTCCCAGTGACAAATAAATACATAATTTAAATTTTTTTTAAAAAGCTGGTCCCAGTAGGCTTTAGGAGATTTCAAACATCCAAAAAACCTCAATGAAAACAATGAAAAAGTGTTTTCTTATGATTTTTAGTTCATCATTCTTCTCTTAAGTAGAAGGGCTAAGGACAGAATTCTCTGTACATTAACTGCAGCCCTTGACTAAGTTTGCTGCTAAGTCTGTTGTGATAACATCAGCATCCACTAAAGGGCCAAGTACCTTGGCTAATGGGAGTTTGAAAGGTATCGGCTGCAAAGAAAGAACCAATCGGCTGAAGAGATGCAGAGACCTCAGGACCAACAGGAACAGCTGCAGGGAACACAACAAAACACACAAGAGCTTAATTATTTATTCAGTTAACTCTACCTTTGAATGTTCACTCAAAGGCTGTATTTCACTTCATTAAATGGATAGGTCTTGTGCCAAAATACCAACATGAGTCATCTCCTGGTGGTCTCTGGCTGACAGATTGCCCAGCCGCCTCTCCAGCAGAGCACAGGGGTCCGGACACTCTTCACAGGAAAGACTGGGGTTGAGAGTGAACGTTTCTCTAAACCTGGAAGGGAAGAGGGGGGGGATTAAATGGAAATAGAAGTTACACCAAGTCAATAATAACTGATAAGGTCAAGTTGATGACTTGCACTTTTTTTTTTTACACATTCTGACATGAAAGATTTCAGGTTCCACTACACGTCGTTTTTCATATTTCATAAGCACACACCATTTAAGCAGTCTGGAGAGGTAGTTTTGGTCAATATGTTCCTTGGCAACCATACTGAAGTGGGGGGGCAGCAGCGACAGAGTTATGGCCAGCAGGAGTGGTTCACTGCACAGTTGGTTGCGGAACATCCCATTGGCTATCAGGCACATGAGGTGGACCTGTGATAGAAGTTCTGTGATCAGAAGTTTGTAATGACCAAAATCCCACTGTGATGACGTAAAAATCAGACACAGAATTACATCAATAAGAAGAGCAGTGGCCTGTACTATGAAGCGGGGTAACTGGCTTATCCAGGTAACTTCAGTCTATCCAGGAGTAACTCTGTGACGTCAGGTGTAACTTCCCGGTTAACACGTACTACGAAAAGTGGATAGGTGTTACCCGAGGTCTGTTGCCATGGCAATTTACGCTGCATCTCTAAACTGCTCCGAGCAGGTTTTGTTCGTGGTTATCTCGAGGTTACCCTGCACGTGGACCACACACCACATCTGTACTCAGTGTTAATGATGAGAAGTAGGATATTAATACACACACTTGATAAAATATGTTTAGATTTCATCCTGATTTGTTTCACTGTTGCAATGAAGTTCTGAACACAACAGCATTACATTCAGATAGCCTAGGAGATTTTAGAGAGGAATCTTAATTAATTAACGGGACAGTTCCTTAGATGTAGCCCATCTGTAGTCTATAATTGAGTTCCCCTAATTGTTTTCACATATTTAGATTTTTATTTTATGTGTCCAAAAAATACGGAGCCAGGGTGGAGGTTAATAACCGAGAAAAAAATCCTAGATTCAAGTGTGAAATTTACAAGGAGACTGAAATTAATGTCACACAAAATCGTAAATCACTCGGGCAAACTCTCTAATGTGCATGATAGTGATTGTGGGCTAAACGTGAGTATTTCCTCACTGCTAACTGCTAAGTTTAATATAAAACTTTCCAATGCATGCATAGTGGCAGTGTGTGTTTGATGTTGCAGCCTTGCAAAGTGAAGGTTCTCTCATAAATGAGTGACTTTAATGTCAGAGAATATTCAAGTTTTTTACTTGTAGATTAATCTTGCAGATGCCCTGCAATGGACTGGCGACCTGTCCAGAGTGTACCCCGCCTTTCGCCCGATGTCGGCTGGGATTGGCTCCAGCCCCTCGCAACCCTGTACGCAGGATAAGCGGTTGACGATGGATGGATTGATTAATCTTGGAGATTAAATTTTCTCTCGGATTATTAGGACTACCCCTCTCCGCTGGCTCCATTTTTTTCTATTACAATGGACCTTATGTGCAGTTGTACCTTTACATCTTAATCATATTAGGTACGCATAAAAGAAGGACCCATAGAATACATACAATAGAGATTTGAACTACTATAAGAACACTGGGAATTTACTCCAATGCGATGCCAACAAGACTCCCTGGCTTTGTCGGCCGCCGCGATATTAGATTTAGCCGTTAACTTGTCTTTACATTCATCATATCCTGACACTATCAACGTGCATTCTTCTGGAGAAATACGGAGCATGCGCCATTGCGAAGAAACTCTGCCTGCACGGCCGAACACACCCCTTTTATGCGAAAGCGCACCAACTCCAAGTAAGTTAACACCGACTAAACTAACCAACATCTTATCCACTGTCGTAGTACCGTTTAACTCCAGTGTAGGTTGAACTCCCTTCATAGTGCAGGCCACAGGTGGCTACAATACGTGTGTTTTCACCTTGTGTGTGTTTATCAGCTGGTCCTTCTTGTATCGGTTCAACATCCGCTTCAAGTATGTCTCAAACTCTGCCTGCCTCTTTTTCCTGGCCCATGAGAAAACAAAATTAAGAAATAGTGTATACTCGCACACAAATCGTTTCCCATGGAGCAAGTCCACAGAGCCTTAAGATGGTTTTGAAAATGCAAAGTCTGGTTAAAGAAAATGTTCTTCAGGCACTCTATGGCAGAAGATGAAGAAAAGGTATCTTCGAAGCCTGACTAAATAAAGGCTTATAAAAATCTTAACCTAAGACTGCCCGAAGAATGTTTTCTTTTAAAGACTGCAGATGTTTATCAGAATTACTAAGTAGGTTTTCACATACAAGGCGTTTGCCTTGGTATATTGGTGCATGACGATAAACATCACAAGTAGACAATTTAAGTGGAACAATATTTAAGATTAAATTTTACTTGAACAAAAAGGACATAAACATAATACTTCTCCCTGAATGTATCCAGTGGAAGCTCTGAGACTAAAACTTATTACAATAAATCAAATTAAAACAGTTATTATTGTTATGTGCTCATATTCTGATCTCTTCTTATACGGTCTTTTAGGGCGGGTTCATACATAAAGGTCAAGTTCATAAATTCACTTGACAGCGGTCTGAGTCTGGCTGAACCGAACTCAGGACATAACAAAACACACAAGAGCCCAAAAATGTACCTCCTTGGTGGTTCATTTCTGGTGTGAACAGGATTTGAAACACAAAACAAGAAGTGTACTATTCTGTGTCATTTCGTTGGTTAAACGTTTTCTCTTCCTGTTTTGGTGACTGGTGAACTAGTAGTGCTTTTGCAACTAAAATGTCAACTAGCCAGGGATAAACCTGGACTCACAAAGTATTTAGATGCATCCTGATTATTTGGGCTGAGGAGAACGTTTCTCAATTACGAAAAAGGTGCAGAAGAACACTGAGGCATTATAAATATTCAGCGATAAAATGAAGGAGAACGGATTCCAGCAAACTAATAAGCAGTGTCACGTGAAAGTTTAAAAAACTGCATCAACAGTACATCAAAGTACTGTAGTATGTAATTATTTGGAGGGGTTTGTTTTTTTACCTGCGACTGCATGAGCAATGATCAAACACCATTTCAGACACATGGCTTTTGTTTGCAATTTCTGGACCACTTGAGTTTTTGCTTTGTGAAAGCAAACCATATCATTTGGAAAATTGAAACAATGATTATCTTCGCATTGGTTCGATTTATGAACCAGACCTTAAGGTGTGAACCCGGCCTAAATTCCTATATGGTAACAGTAACATTACATTACAATTATTTTGTAAATATAAACAAGTAACAATACACATGTATATTCAGTATATACACATGCACTTTGATTCACTTACCTTTTCCTGACTTCTTGAGTCTCAATCTCTATCTCAACTGGCTGAGAGGGCAGGACAGGTTCTGGTAGCTCAACTGGACCCATCTGCTCAGCCAGCTCTGATCAACAGACACACTCAATCATTTTGTCGTTTTTGTTTCCCACTTTACTCCTAACATGCCACACCTCTTGTGAAAATAATATTCTCACCTGTATATGTAAAATTAAAAATAGTTGGACACTGTTTTTTTGTTGATCCCTGACTCACCTTCCACTTCCTCCCAATCATCCGCATCTTCCTCACTGTCCTCCTCCTCCTCTTGTTCTTTCTCGGTTTTCTCAGCATTCACTGCGGCCTCAGGTGCTTCTGAGGTCACCATGTCAAAGTCGTCTTCACTGTCAATGTCAGTCTCCTCCTTCTTCAGTGACGACTGGAAGTATTTACTGGTTTTGACAGCAAGGGTGGGTGTGGATGTGGTGGAAGTGGTGTTCCCTGCTGCTCGTTTTGTGGACCTACATGGTTTGGGTTTGACCTTCCTCTCAAGCGTTTCCTCTTCCTCTGTGATGCCATTACATGGAAGGACAGACAGAAATAAAAGGTTTTAAGCTGCTGTGTTTAAGTAACGATTAAGGCTGTGGCTCAGGAGGTATAGTGGATCAAAGGGCTTATCACAGGAGACAAGACCTGCGTGGTAGCATCAGCGCGTGAGGGGGTCCGTGAATGGGTGGCTGTGCGGCAAACCTCATAAAGTGCTTTGTACTCCCCTACAGAAATGCAGCCTGAGTAGGATACAGGTTGGTTTTCAGTCTTCTAATTCTCACTTTTTCTTGCCTTATATAGTTGATATCCTTCTAATTTAAAGCTGCTGTATTTAGCATCAAAGAATCTTAACTACATTCATGCAAAATAGAAGTATACTCACCCTAAACAAACAAGATCACCATCATAGACCACCTTGCCTCTATCAGCTTCTGCCCTGCATTTTATATTGATAACCCTTCCTGTGTGTTTTCTGAATAGTACAGTAATCCCAATAATGCATTTAAAACTGTGACAAGAGCTGAGAGACTGATACAGAAGGAGAGAGGCAGACAGGCCAGCATGTGTATGATGTATGACCCAAGGCATATTTAAAGAAAGAATGCATGTGTACATATGCATTGTATGGTGCATGCTTTAGAGAAACAATTTTCCACAAAAACAAGTATATAGATAGATAGAAAACAGAATGTACTGGTGACCTCTGTATGCTTGTACATTCAGGCAAAATAGTACTTAGCACTGTGTAGCATCTTAGCATAGATATCTTTGCTGTCTACCAGCAATGGCTAACCTAGCTTAAACTTGTTCTATTGACATCCTTACTCTACTGACAGCGTTCCTCTGACAAATATACTTATTGTAAGTTAAGAAGGTACTTTAGGGCCAAATGTTTTGTTAATTTGAAAAATACAACCATGTATTCAAACTAAAATTAAGTATTCCATTTTTTTCAGTTTAAATAAAATGTTGATTCAATTATGGAATTATTTTGAATAAATTAATATTTTTATTTTTCACTTGTATATATTTGGTATTTACGGACTTATTTATATATATTAAAATTAATAAAATAATTACCCCCACTGTTAGGGAGAACTAAACGTTTGTAAGACCATTGGTGACCTGTGACTTCAAATTAAGACAAGTGAAGTAAAGTTTCTATTATTTTATTCATATTTTAGTTTCACAGCATATTTATAGGCCTTCTTGCTATGTGGGAGCTCAACCAGCAGAGGTCACTCTCCCCCCTTCTGTGGTGCCAACAGGCAACAAGGTTCTGACCTTTTGACTTGTGTTTCTATCAAAGAGAAGGCTGCACTGCTACCAGAGGAAACTGATCACTGAGTCTGAACGGTTTGCAGAACTTCACCTGCCTCCCAGCTGCTCTTTTAATGGTGCCATTACTGTTAAAACTCTCATCTTCCACAATCTATTGTTACCCATTCAGTGTCAAAACAAAACACTTCCAAAACAAATCTGTGGAGTTGTATACTTTTTATTTTCCTTTGCAATTTTCTCCAGTGTTATATACTTATTATGTTAGTTAAGAAGATTAAATATTTTTATATGCAGCCTGTAGTTCTCATTAGTTATGTAGGCCTACTTCTTTGTGAAACCTGGTGAGCATTACTGTGAGTAAAAAAGCAGCTCCTCTAGCTCTGGGGCTTTCAAGTCTTTTACTGCCTTTCTTGGATTTAATTCTGTTTAATGAGCCATCAGGGAAAGCTATGCGCTGTTCAAACCTGTGTAAAGTAAAATAAAAGTGAAATTGAGTCCCAAGACCGGTGATGTGAGCCTGTGCAGGCTTTGAGGACTGATGATAGTTTCACCTATCATCATCTTTCTCCGAATAAATGCTGGACTGGCAGGAAATCCTAACATGCTCCCTGATCACACTGCAACACAATGCATCAAGACAGATCCTGAGTGCTACGTGAATATCAACTCTTAAAGAGGCATTTGTCTCCAGGTGTGTGCCCGCTACTGGAGAGGCAGGGTTCCCTGAGATTTCAAACACATAACCCACCAAATGATCAGGAACATTAACTCGATCCATTTACCATCGCATATTACATTCAGCCTCCAAGAAACAGATAGGATGACCAAGTAAACAACAGATTTCCCCCCAATACTCAAGTTTTGTCTCTAATTCCTTTTAATACATCCAATGCACAAAAGAAGAATACAAAATGAGACTTTTAGATGCATTAGAAGCAATTATTTTCTTTTAAAGTTGAAAGCCTCAAGTATTAGATTATGTGAGATGTTGTCTGTAAAGAGGGTGCTGGTGATTGGTACTAAAGGTGGGTGACCCAGGTAAAGTGGACAGGTTGGAGCTGTGTCTAGCACAGGTCACCCATGTATTTCAATATTGTTATGCACAAAAGCAGAGCCACAATTCCAAGCTGTGGTTTACCATCTTTCATGATCTAAAACTCCAAAACAGGGCCCTTTTATTGTGCTGGATGTAGGAGTGGTGTGCTCCTTTGTCCTGACAGTCCAGCATTTATTTGAACAGAGAGTGATGGTAGGTGATTGCCTTGCTACTATCATCAGTCCTCAAACCCTGCACAGGCTCACATCCTCCAGGTATAAATCTGGGAGGTCCTGAGATGACTACCAGGGAGAAAAACTAAATGACTCAACTTCACTTTTATTTTAATGTACACAGGTATGAAAAGAGCAGAGCACTGCCTTCCCTGGTGGTTCATCAACCAGAATTAAACCCAAGAAAGGCAGTAAAAGACTTTAAAGCCAATGGTGCCCAGGTTTCGCATATATGTTCTTACATTGTTTTTGTATTATTGTTTCTTGGGTATTATTGTCTTTACACTTGTTAAAGCACTTTGTAACTTGTTTTTGAAAAGTGCTCTACAAATAAAGATTATTATTATTATTATTACATAACTAATGAGGAGGCTGCATGAAAAATATTTAACCTAATTCAGTAACATAATACTTTATATTTCACTGGCAAATTAAATGTCTCAAAAATAGAAAAGTATACAACTCCACAGATTTGTTTTGGAAGTGTTTTGTTTTAACATTTAAGAGGTAACAGTAGATTGTTTAAGCTGAGAGTTTTTAACAGTAATAGCACCATTAAAAGTGCAGCTGGAAGGCAGGTGAAGTTCTGCACACCCTTCAGACTCAGTGATTAGCTTCCTCTGGTAGCAGTGATCAAATGCCAACAGCGCAGCAGAGCTGTAATAGAAAATGCGATAGAAAACAACACGATTGTAAATGCCTATTTTAATATACCATTTCTTTCCCTTCTCTCTGTGTCTGCATCCCTTCTTAGCTTATGAGCTTATTTTCCACACAACAACTGTGGGTTTATTTACTCACATTAATACATCACAGTGGCTGAAAGCACCATATTGGTGAACACTCAATTATTACTGGATATGTTTACTCTAATTACATTGGACTTCTTCTGAAACGTCCAGATGCTCCCAATTCAACTTTTCTTGGATAACCATGACCTGGATGAATCTTTACAGATGTGTAGGTTTGTCTAACCCTTTCTCTTGTTCTCCCTCTCTCAGCACAAGAATAACAGGGGGTTCAGTGGAGCCTGAAGATGATCTGCAGTGATGTTTTTAATAAACCAAACATAAAGCCAGTGATGTGTTCTTTCTTTGTGGAAAAAGTACCTCATATTTTTTGTTGTTAGCCTCTTTAGTGATTGTAAGGTTGCTCCTGTTGAACTGAGTTAACCATTTTTTCCTCATCTCCATGTCAGCTGGGAAACCAAACATTCGTACTCCTTTTTCTGACCAACTGCAGCAGCATCTCCACACAGCACAATAAACTTCGCTGCAGACTGTTGTAAGACAGTTCAGAGGCACAAACCACTTAACATGCTGTTTTCTAAGTTTATTGGAGATTTATTAAATTAATACACGACAATCATTGACAGTCACCTGTCTGTTCTATCTGAAGTCATAAAGATTACATTAGTCATTAAGACCAATTAACCCTGGTAACATGGGATTACTAAAAAGGAATGTTAGAAAAGTAAATCTGATCTGAATTTTAAACATGTTTTCAAGAGAAAAGCACTTTCCAATGTCAACAAGGTAGGTGATTCTAGCTGTTATTGTCAATAATATATGTCCTCCTTTTTTAAAAAAGATAGTGATGTAACTACATACACGTCTCACTGTGCTGTGCAAATATTGTAAATCAATGCATTTATTTTATAAATTATGCTTAAAATCGCTGTTTTGTTGTTTCTCTCGCTCATTTTCAATTGCCTGCCTAGGACTTCCAGGAACTATCAGCGGTCTCCATGATCCACGTGATGGTCAAGCATTTTGGGGGGACTCTCTCTTTACAGGGCTCTGTGAAAAACAAATTGACCGAAGTTCACAGACTCTCTTCATTCTTTGTTCAAAAACGAATAACGATAAAATGAACTGCAAAACCCAAACAAATGGCCGCTTTTAATTAGTTTTTAGTTTTTTGATTCTGACACCAAAAACGTTTTTTGGTTTTGAAATCAAAAACAGAAAAACTGTATTTTCGTTTTTGAATTACAAACGAATTACGGATTATCCAGAGACCCAGAGCCTGCTGTCATGTCCTCACTTTAGACACCTCAAGTAAAAATTGGTTCAACTCACCCCGCTCTCCCCTCCAGCTTAAAACAGTGACGTTTTTTAATATTAAAAATTATGCAAAAGCCTTTTTTCTCCAAACTAAGTGTTGTAGTATAATTAAGCAATAGCTCACGACAGGCCGTGGTATACCCTTATTATATCACAGTGAAGGGGCGTTCTTCGGCAGCCCCCTTCACTGTCTGAGAATGAGCGTATATCATTTATGAATACAAAAGTAGTTCCACCAAGCTGCTGGTGGGCTTTTAAGCAACACACATCAAAGGCTAAAATTACTAGAACTATTTATTTATGCACGTTGCCGTTTATTGTGCAGCCACTAAAAACTGTCCAGCGTCAGTAGATTGACTTTGGTAACTTATAATATGCTTGCTCTTGTGTGCGGTCGGCCAGCAGTGCGTAAAATAATAACACTTTAATATTATACCTACCATAAAGTGCGGAATTGCATCTGAAATGCGATCTTTATCAGATCCCATTTTCATACCAGGTGTAAATGGGGCGTGAGACCCCCACGAAGCTCAGATTATAACTTGAACTCTGTTTGTCGCGGAGTGATACGGATCTGTGCGAAGGAATTCGACGTCATACCCGTTATATATTCTCATTATATCACTGCTATGAACCAATCAGATTGCTTGATTTGAGCTACCCGTTTTATAACCAGCAGTAGATCATTAATGTCCAAACACTTCATTCTCTCAGAGTGAAGTTATTGAATATTTGTGCCCTATCGAAAAATGCTACAGACTTGTAGCTCGTTGTCTACTTAACTACGATAGTAAAGAGGCGTCGTTTGTATTTTAAACACGTTTCGCTTACGAGTTATTGATCCCGGAAGTTCGAATCTGTGAATATATTTCCAACTTTACTGAACTCCAACAGGGGATGAAACTGATTCAGAAGACGCCGTTGGATTCTCAGTGTTGAGCTCAGGGTTGCATAGACACACAGACACCTCCCCTGTTGAACCAGCAAACTGACCCTCCTTATTTTGCAATCTAAGTTATTTCCACACAGATTAACACTAATTTACAAGTAAGCTAAATGTGGTTTTCCCACTCATTTATTTGGAGGCAAACTTCACACACCCTTTGCAGCAAACTGGAAGCACGAGAGGTTACATGTATCAGTGAATAGCGGGATAGATCAGCGTGATGCATCCTTTCTGAGTTTTCATACCTGCAGCTTTCTTCTTCGCTCTTGGTCTTGCTCCGCTGGTTTTTGCCTTCATCGCTTGCTTCGGTTTCTTTGTTTTGGTCTCTGCAGCCTCTCTCCGCTTTGCCATGCCAATGCTGTCTTTCCTTCCGTAAAATGTTTTAGGCAAAACTAGACAGGCAGAATTCCCTCAGCTCTCTGCATAATGTTGTCTAAAGGCAGGTTCATAGTAATTTTCCAACATTTCACTCTGCAGCTTTTACTACACAACAAACTGTACCCAAGTTGTTTTGCAACCTGAACTCTGACGTCACGTCCGCTCCGTCTTCTTCAGACTAGGCACTGTTGCATTGCTGCCTCCCACTGGTGATAAAGACAGTCTAGCCTACATTAAGGCTCCTCCTGACCTGTATTTTCCAATAGGCCCGCAGATTTCAAGAAGTGAACTAATTCCAGTGTTCTTTCTTTTTGATTTGGATCATCACCCATCAGAGTTTTTAAATATAATAGTTCAACTCCCAAATCGTTTAAACCCATGAATAACAGTCTCCTTTCTTCTGCATATCTCAGACAGTGAATGATGATATGTTTGACAGACTCCTGTAAAGTCTTGACACTGTGTTTCCACACCAGAAACAGTCTACTTGCCAACCCGTCCCAGCCTTAATCTGGCCAACTTAATCTGATCCATCCAAAGGCAAGATCATTGTATTTCCAGGGTTATTTAATGGTTTGATGTCATAGAACTTCCTAACTCTGGTGTTTTTAATCCACTCGTACTCCAGTTGTTGAGTCAGTCTTTCCTTGATGATGCTACGGCACTCCAGTCTGCACTTTCTTCCAGCCACCACTAAGCCCATAGTATTGCTACCAGCTCTGCTGTAAAGATTGACAGACCATCAGGCAGTCTATGACACTTTCTGAAATGAATATGGGGAACATTCAAACCAAAGCCTGCTTTCCTACTCTCAGGGTCTCTAGATCCATCTGTATAAATATCTATGTAGCTATTCCAATCATTACTAATGTGCTCCTGTACATGATTTGCAACATTTCCTTCTCTTCCTTCCTTTATTAAGTGTTTAATAGATATGTCTGCATCAGCCTCAGGCAACAACCAGCGAGGGATAGATGGCCAGCAGACAGAACGCCCTATTTTTCTTTCATTAAGTTTAAGCTCCTCTGCATGTCTTAACAGAATTTAAAACACTATACCTACTGTATTAAGCCTGCTCTCACCCTTTCTAAACTCCCAACACTCTGCTAGCAAAGAGACTGAAGGAAGAGCTGATCCAAAGCTTTTAATTTTTACAAAATAATTTAATGCCAGTTTTGCACATCAAGAAGGTTTGTAATCACATTAAGTTCTACCTGGCAAATTTTAGATATGTCCATAGTTGCATGTCAACAAGGGCCGCTATAATGATCATGCGACCTGCTCACAAGCAAGCAACACTTCTCTCAAACCACTACTCTCCCTATATAAAAAAAACTCTTAAAGTACTTGATAGGAAATCCGTTTTACTATCATCATTGTCATGTTTTAAAAAAATGTAACCTTTTAAGTTTGGAAAACTTGATTACAAATACAGATCTCTGTTTTTGTTATAAAAATAGTAAAATTTTACATGGACGGGCTCCTCCTGTATTGAGCCAGTTTGTAAACACGCCACTAAATGCTTACAGATCTACAACAAGTGCTGCTAGAGATGACTGCATTGTGCCGTTGAGGAAAAGTGCATTCAGTCAAACAGCTTTTTCAGTCAGGGCTGCTAGTGAATGGAACCTCATCCCAATTCACATTAGGAATTTTAAAACTTACGCTTCTTTTAAATTTAACTTAAAGAAGTGGCTAACAGATAGTCAGGACTGTCAACATTACATTTAGACACTAAATCTTGCTGCTATCTTGTCTTTTCTGTCCTGCCTGTTTGTGCTTCTTGTACTATGCCTATGAGGTTGTCTGGCTCATTTGTGTTTAGATAGGTTAAACCTCTGTTGTGTGTCATTTGTGCATATCCAAAAATGGATGCCGTTGCTATTATACAATGTTAGATGGACTGACTGCCTGGCTTGTGTGTGTATGTGTGTGTTGGTGTTGGTGTTGACCTACTGTTCTTGTTTTTATGTTGGTCTAGTCTAATTTTTGCTTGTATTGGGCCTAACCTGTATGCACTATTTTAATGCTTTCATCTTTTTAGGTGTGACATATTGCGATCTGTTCAGGGACAGCAGATGTATAATAGCCTTTTGGCTAATTCTGGCACATTATACATTTATTTATGTATTATTAGTGAGAATTGTTCCTGTTAAATAAACCTGAAATAAATAAATAAATGTTCTTTATATGTTAACTTTTCATCCACCCAGACACCAAGAAACTTTAAGACTGTGACTCTTTCAAGAGGTTCCCCATACAACTTCAGGCCCCGACTGTCTACACGGCCTCTTTTCCACATTGCTCCATCATTTGCGAACAAAGATAGCTGGAATCCACTTCCTAAGTAATCAAACATATTATTAACCATTACATTGAACAGAACTGGACGGATGACACTGCCCTGCGGAGTCCCATTATCAACAATCACAGAGTCAGAAAAGCTCCCCACCTACTCTTACCTGAATACACCGTAACACAACACCACAACACCCTCAGATATTCCATAGTCAGTGAACTTAACATCTACCTTCTCGGGTGAAAAATTGGATCTCCCCATGGCTCTGGATGCTCCCTCCCACACATTTCTTGTTATGATTTTGAAGTGTACAGTGCTGTCATTATTTACTCAAGAAGCAATTCGCTCCATTATTCTCCCTAAAGTCATCTTTAAATCACTGAAACAATAATAAACAATACAATGTAGTTAATAATCGATCCCCTGAACTACTATGTAACATCCACAACATTGCCTGAACTTCAATGTTCTTGAATGGACAGTACATTATTCACTGTGTAAAAGTAGGGACACCATAATTTAACATCTAATAAATATGTTTTACGCAAATTGTACTGCAAAAAAGGCCCACTAATGCCCAGACCATGAAAAAACAGTATGAAGAGACAAATACATTACAAAAGATGGACCTTTAGGATTTGCTGGATGAACTATTGCCGGATGTGCTGGGTTGGGTGGGACCATGGGAGACACCAGATGTGTTATGAGCAGAGAACCAATGTGTGTCACCACTAACATGGGCAGTGGGACCAATTGGCAAGCCATGGGTGTTGCCACTGAAGATGGCAGAGGTTCCATTGGACAAGGTGAAAGTCTCATCAACAGTGATGACAGGAGCACTAGTGGACATGGTGGTGGTGTCAGCTGAAATGGAAGATTCATCGGTGCAAATATCTTGGGTGGCAACGCACCAGATAACTTGATCACCCCTGGAGATGGAAGGGGTATTATTGAAGAGAGACTGGGTCTCCACAGTGGAGATAGTTGAGTCAACTTCTTTGGAAATGTCACCAACACTACCAATGACTTCAAGAACATGGAAAAATAGTCGATTGACAGTTAACTTTTGAGTAGCATTTTACTCAGAACACATCTTGGACTACAACGCTTGTATTAAGTGGTGGATTATAGTAAGTACAATTTTTCTGCACAAAATATTACTTAAAATAACAAAATAATGAAAACATAAAAACAAAAACAACCTCTCATCACAATCTCTGTTCCTACTTTCAGACACATTCCCACCTCAAACCATTGTCATTCTCTTCTTGTCCACCAGATGCCCTGACTTTCCCTTTTTTCCCCATCAACTGACTGCCACTACTAACTGCACAGGTGTTCTCACTTCCCTCATGAGCCCTGCAGGTAGTGACCTGTTTCCACTTTTCTCATCCGCCCTGCAGGTACTTTCTTGCATTGAGTTTTGCTTTGGAGAAGCCAACTGTCTCCTAACCTGGACCTTTATTTGCCTACCTACCTGCACTTGCCTGCCTACCTGCACTCATCCTGCTGTCTCCTATATTTACAATATTCAAAAGAATTCAGAGAGCGCTTCAATCACACATCAGATCTTGATGAACAAAAAAATTAAAGTTCAAAATTTAATTGTACAATTCGTTGAGAACAAAATGACGTAACAACAGTCACTGGAAACCAAAATCACCAATGTGCTGAGGATTGGATTCCAAATCACACAGACTCCACCCTCATGGAGTCTGTTTGTGACAGTTTGGTCAGACACATGCCTACCAGTAGCCCACTATTCGTAACTGGACAGATTGAGATCCCTGAAGTTTAATTAACATGATGTTATACTGTGATTATTAAAGGTTCAGTGTGTAGGTTTTGGTGGCATCTAGTGGTGAAGCAACAGCTCAAGCTGCATTCCCGTGCTCCTCAGATGGTCCCATTTGTTGTAAAGTTCTTCCAACTTTGGTGTGTTCATGTGCTCTTAAGTCGGAATGTGGAATCAACATGGAAGCTAACAAAAATGTGTTGGATTAGCATTATCAGAGCATATAAAGATCATGCGGCGGCGTGGTGGACCAGTGGTTAGCACAGTGGAGTTTGCATGTTCTCCCCGTGTCTGCGTGGGTTCTCTCCAGGTGCTCCGGCTTCCTCCCACCATCCAAAGACATGCGGACTAGGTTAATTGGTGGCTCTAAATTATCCTTAGCTGTGTGTGTGTGCGTGGTTGTTTGTGTATGTGTGGCCCTGCGATGGACTGGCGACCTGTCCAGGGTGTACCCTTCCTTTCGCTCAGCTAGGATTGGCTCCAGCCCCCACGACCCTGTAGGCAGGATAAGCGGTTGACGATGGATGGATAAAGATCACGCAGATATCTATGATATCTTATATCAATTTAATTTCTAAATCCAACAACAAAAAAGCTGTGAAAATGTTCAACATATGGTTCTCTTTTAATATCTTTACATAATATAGACTACCACAGCAAAGTTTGTATTATTTGTGTATTTGTATATTGTTCTGTATACTTCTTTATGTCCCATATGCACTTTTTCCTCTTTTCGCAATAAAGATTTAAGGAGGGATAAAACATTCTGATTATTCCGACACCATATGAATGCACCATTAGTCACAGCACACCCCTTCCTTGCAAAAGCGCAGAGGCAAAGCTACAGTGGCTGACGCACTCTGTCAGCTCAAAGTTACAAAAGGTCCTCTATTTGTCCAAATTTCACTTCTATTCTTACTACTAATAAACCAGACGACTACTACTACTACCACTAAAATCGTTACTTCTTCTTCTTCGTATGTATTCACTGTGGCAATGAAACGCGCTCAGTAGAGCTGTTCGTCTGTTTGGGCTACTGTAGAAACATGGCAGCGCA